TTTTTTTTTTTTCAACTGTCGGTTCGCACTGTTTTCTATGATGCGCCTCTTATTGACTCGACACAAATCACCATTGGTTTCGCTCTCACCCTTGCTGGCTTGTTTCAAGGAGCGGCATCGCCGTTGATCTACGAGAGTTTGGCCGAGATCATGTTTCCTCTGCCCGAATCTCTCTCCGCGTCGATCCTCGTGCAGTGGAACAATGTTGCTTGTGTTGTTCTTCTTTTCGTTGCCTCCGGACGATACAAGTTAATCAACTTGCTCGTTCTTATCATCATTGCACTGTCTATTATGATGGTTTCATTCGCTCGAATCTCATACAGACGGCGAGACGAAGAGGAGCGAAAGAGACGAAAGACGGTTCTTGAGCTTGATCTCGTTGAGAATGCTTCCGATTCGAATCCGCCCCGATATTAATTTATTTTAGCTTTCGGAAACAATGCGTTTTTGATTACTTTTGACCCATCTTTGTTCCACTGGAATTTCAAATATTGACGAAGAAATATCTGTAGCTTTTTTAGCTCTCAAATTTCTATGTGCAGAATGTTGTACAGTGCACTTCAATTGAATTTTCACCGTATAGTATTCTTGCTTAAGAATAGTGCAGTTTTCTGTTTTTTTTCATTAATCAGTATATAGTGGAAAAGTACATACTGCACTATATTACATAACATATTAATTATAAATAACAAATAAAGTGCAGAGAACAAAAAGCTTTTTTACTGCAATCTACAATAAGAGAAAATCGAATTTTTGTATGAAGGAGACAGGGAGAACGGATCCTAATGGATCTGATAGGATCTAAGAAAATCCATCAGGACCCAACAAAAATAACCAAAAGAAGTAGATATTATCTCTAAAATCTCTGACAAGAAAGAAAAAGTGGATTTAGGCGATTGAGACCTTGGTGATCTCCGATAGATTCTAATAGGTTCTAATGAATTTTGCGATACTTGGAGATCTATGAGCATTCATGTTTTCTACATTGATTGTAGACTGTTGTAAAGCTAATCGGTTTTTGATAAATTATAATAGACTTTGATGAATCTAGTAGATTGAAGTAAGTTCTGATAGGTTTTTATACATTTCGATAAATTTATTCTGCGATCAATTAGTGTTCATCAGGATCCATTAGGAACTACTAGAATCTACCAGGATGTAACAGGAGGGTGGTTAGATGCGAGATGTGGGTATTGATAAAGAGAAGATTGACATCCATACTCACGCATACATCCATACACCCACATATTTGATTCTATTTTGCTTTCACAATTATGAGGTGTTTATTTTTTTACTTGATACGTTTCAACTGAGATATCTACTACACGTCTTTGTTGACTTGTATAGTGCTGTCTTTAACTTTGCTTTTTGCAAAAATGTTTTAATCAGTCAAATTGTTTTAATTATTAGCTCTATAGGTAAATAACAAAGATTTAACCAGTCGTACTGAATAGAGTAAAGACATGATTCCATCCGATTGATGAGAAGAAAATACAAAAGCTCTTTTAAAGTACTAAGCCACAGTGATCAACTGTTCAATGAAACAACTTAATTATTTGATTTGTGTGTGTTCCTCTGTTTACTTGAAAAGATGTGCTTTCGCTACATGCAAATATCGTAACATACGCTTTTTTAAGTGTAGGAGTGGAAATATTCAGCAGTGAGAAACGCACTAATACTGCCGTGTTCTAGTGCTAATGTGGAGCGTAAGTGTCCAATATGTGTTCACACGTGAGTATTTTCAAAAGAATTGTTTTCGTCATGTTATAATTGATGAAAGTATCATGTTAGCATTTTGCCTACTATTATGTATTACACAAACGATATTACCTATTTTAATTATGCAGATGCTTTCGAAAAATGGCAGAACTTATGTCACAATCTTCGAATTAATGAGCACGATTAAGCGATATTCACTAATGCCATAATAAGTTCTTTCTTTGTTATTTTATGTTCACTTTTACTTTTGTCTTCATGATAAAAATCAAGATTTTTATTTTATACCAGCTTTGACGCAAGTCTGTAAATAATATTTACTGAGTTTTCAAGTTTTAAAACGAAGTATATGATACCCTGTAAGAAAGGTCATTACTATATAGTTATCTGATAGATAGCGCCATTCGTCAAAGATATTGTTAAATCTTTATGGATAAATGACGATCTCTATATCAATATCTGGATTGGCGTTATCACGAACATATGGTTCTAAACCTCATAGAACTGTCACATCTTTATATAGCAAACTTTGTTAAAAATTATTCAAAACATTATACACAATAAATGAAGCGAATTGATTCGTTAGGAAATGTATCAATGGGTATTTCGAAAAACATCGTATATCGTATAATGTAATATATAAATAAAATATTGGTATAACATTTTTTTATTTTATTTTATTTGATATGGATCTACAAAATGTTGAAAATACTATCAGTAATAATGGTAGTTACATAAAGCATCTCTAGTCCATAACGAAGTATTCGTCATAGGTGGAACCGGTCTGAAAAAGTCAGACTGGACCGACTGGTAATTGGCATCGTTTCCATCTCTGGTGCTCGTCTTTTAACTAAATCTCTGAGAAAAACATCATTATTATTTAATCAACAAACTCTTCATCGAATAATATCTAGCGGTGTTATTAACAGTCATTCACTAAAACTGAATGTTCGTAAACGAACTTTATTTAGTATTGATACTCATGTTACATGAGCACGCTCGATTGCTTATTCAACGATTACATACAATGATAATAGGGGTATTCAAGATATCAACGATAACAACAACACTTATCGAAATCTTCTTCCGTCTGATCAGTCCAATGATGATGAAACGTTATTAAACAACAACGTAACAATTAAACAAAAATCACCAAATTTCCCAATCAGATCTGAATTTTTATCTTACTTTTTAATTCAAGACAATGGTTATAAATGCAAGTTATATGATAAAGTAAATACTTTCTAAAATTCTCATATACTTGCATGATGTATTAATATAAATGTGCAGAAAGAAATCGATTCATATACATAAATAAAGAGTGTCTTATGAATTCTATCTCAAATTGCACAGGAAATAGCGCTGCAGTAGAAAATGCAGTTGAAGAAGTGTCTCTATAAATACAAGGTGTTGTAAAATGTGCTCTCCATAATAACTATATCGAAAGCTGGTTAGTTCATTTGAGTAGAAAGTTATAACTTCTACAACAACTTATCGAATAAAGATGCAGTTAACCATGACTCTTTGAAAATTAGAAAAACTATCGTAGAATAAACAGTATAATCGAAATTTTCCATAATCAATGCTTGTCAATATGATCTCTTTGTTTTGCATCATCTTTGTCAGGTGTCGAAATATTTTGTCTATCATTTTATCTTACGACGGAAAATTGCGTACTGTAAGTTAAGGAGATTGACCATATTCGAGTCGAATGAGAGCTCTCACCGCCAAACTAACAAATTTTAAATATGATGTGCTGATGGCGTACTTAAACAGAGATGTTCAATTTTTAAGTTATGCACAATCTGTCAATAAGTCAAAGATCAATGATTAACGATAAAGATCAGCAGTTAATGAATGTTTCAAGTTCAAAGTATACAACTCTTCATACAACAATTCAATAAGTGAATCATCCGCTCTCCGAACATCAAAGAGTGAAAAGTATATCTCATGCACAGAGCTACAGAACAGAATATATGTAGCGAAAAGACCGAGACAACAATATATCGCATTAGTCAGTTCATATGCAAACTGCACGATTGCTTTTCTTAAGACTATCGTTTAATAGTTATGTACTTGGATATGCGGTCTTTCTTATCTGTAGGGTGCTATGCTCTCTCTATTGTTAATCTTTCATGTGAGATATTGTTGTCTTGGTCTTTCAGCTACATATATTATGTTCTGTAGTTCTGTGCATGAGATATGCTTCTCGCTCTTTGGTGTTCGGAGAGCGGATGATTCACTCATTGGATGGTTGTATGAAGAGTTGTATAGTTTGAACTTGAAGCATTCATCAACTGCTAGTCTTTATCGTTAATCATTGACCTTTGACCTTTGATCCGGTAACAGATTGCATAACTGAAAAATTGAAAATTTCTGTCCAGGTACGCCATCAGCCCGTCATATTTTAAATTTATTCGTTTGGTGGTGAGAGCTTCCATTTGACGCAAATATGATCAATTTTCTTAACTTACAGCACACGCCCTTCCATTATTAGCTCTTTGGTGAGTGAATGAATTGAAGAATTGGAGGATTAGCATTTCTACTACTCTCACGTCAGTAATAATGTGTATGGTGCCACTTCGTATTTCCAGTGTCACCAGCTGACATATAATAGAAGCTAATATAAGAAAGAGAAAGAGAGAATGACATGAGCAGAGGAAAGAATAAAAGCGCATGAGAATAAGACTGAAACATTGAGAAGAAAGAAGAGATGAATGTTTCATATGGATTAGCACAATTGATGTTACAGTGCGGAGTTATCGGACTTATTTTTTCAATTTGTTATATTTATTTACATTTCAGAGTTCATTTTTCCATAGTGTATAATCATTTCCAATTGAGCCTCAAAAAAGTCGTTTGTATGAGGAGTTAGCCGTCCCTGTTACTCTTCAATATTGTCTCCACCCTCACACTACATGCTTGACATTGTAATGAATACTAAGATTTTCAGTAAAATTCAATAAAAAAAACAATTCAAGAAGTTGATGGCATGGTCCTACTTTTTAAACTCACATTTGATTCAATGTTGCTCTGTCAGACCCATGCAAGATCTGGTTCACTAAAGTTGAACTGAAATTGAATCGTTCTTTAATCGCATGACATGACTCTAATGTTTACAGATCGCATTATAAAAAGATTGTTTAAAACTCTTTCAAAAGCTCATGGATAATTTCATCGTTGCTTGATAAATCTTTCTAAGCTAATAATTTTTTTAATTGATAAACTAGCGACGTTTCTATATGGTCATCTGGAAAGCGTGTTTCACTGTACCTTTTTGCTATAAAGAGAGTTTTACAATTGCATCTTCTTTTATGGAAAGATTTTCTATAAAAATTGAGACTGAACTTTTAGAACACCCTTAAAATATAGTCATATATTATATATCTGTTTGAATAAACAGGTTGATATCAGCTTTTCGAAGAATAAGTATAACATGATTGTTGAAAATCAACGTAGAAAGGTAACATCAAATAAATTGACTAAAACATCTACTGATTATCCTAATCTTTACCGACTCCTAATTCAAACTATTCGAGGAGTGTGCGCATTCACGTATAAAATGCTTTCATCAAACGAATTCGATTTCTAGAAACAGAAAGTTAGAATCATACTCCATGCACTGCAATTTAATCTCACGTATTGATATACATCCTCACGCATTCTAAAGCATGTACTCTTCTATCCATATCCACTGTGTAAAACATAGAATTTCAGAATTTCAAGTTCTACATCTGTGAATATCAATAGGAACACAATAGCACAAGTATTGGGATACAATCTTCATTTGTACTTGAGCGTCTCTGAACAATTTACTACTACAATATGTTGAAGATTTTTCATATCGAACTGAATTTGTCTTTCAAAGAATCTTAAATAATAAAGTCTACTATAGTTTTATATATGATAAAATAAAATTTACATCCTACTAGGTTCAGCATGGGCAGCAAAATCTGTTTGTTAAGAACATGGAGAGCTAGTTACATAAAAAACATCTAGTAAAATATTTGCCTCTGATGCATCATATATAACAACTTTTATGGCATAACTGCAAGCAGGAAACATTTGACCCAAGCGCTTATTCACCCTTTTAAGCCACCATATCTTATGAAAAGACGCACACGATTTTATTATTTCTGCAACTACATATCTGAAAGTGAAACTACAAATATTTCGTTAATTGATCTTGAATTTAGTAAACAAAAATGCCAACAAATAATATTCAAGTTCCAAGTGAAGTTAATCTAAAATAATAAAGAACTTCTATTCTATATATTCTAAGGGTGTGGATGTGAGTGTGGATGATGTTTGAGTTTGGAAAGAGAAGAATACACACATGCACACTCCCATCCACACACCTAATCAGGCGAAAATTGTTTTTTTCGATCTATCTTAGGAACTGCGTATTCATTAACTTTTAGTTTATTGTTTAGGATATATTCTCATGAGATGTTAATGATATGCAATTGTTAATCATGTATCAAAAGCGTCTGTCACAATCTGTGGGGTGAGGAAGATTGCAAGTTTCTACTCTATATACTTCAACACTCACTTTACATCATGTTTCACAAAATAAATAAAGATTCATATAGACTTCAATAAAAATCATAACGTTGTTCCATTCTTTTTCATTAAATATTCCAGAAACAACAATTTTCTTCAATTAAATATTCGTTATCATCAATTGTAGTTGTCATATTATAAGCAATAGTTATAGGCAGTGTTTATTAATAAATAACAGACTCTAGAGAGCATTGCTTTATAGAATGTCAGGAGTTAAAGAGCATCGATTTTGTTGTACAAGTTTATTCCCATTTGAAATATTGGATTCATTGTCATGTGAATGTAAAATCATCGAGTAACAGCCTTTGAATGAAATTTTATTAATGTTTTATTTTATCTTTAAAATAGCAAGACATATCTTTTAAAAGAAAAAGGAAGAGATACCTGCATTAGCGCTGATTTTCATATCCACTCTATATTACAGTCCTATCTCTTTCTTCTTTACTATAAATGATTTTTTTTTGCTATTAGTAAAGAAGAGAATAAAACATTACCAATATTTCACTCAAAAGCTGTTGCTCTATTATTCACACTCACATGGCAATAAATCCATTCTTTAAATGAAAATGAAACTACACAACTAATTTATGCTCCTTAATCCGTGATATCTTATGAATTAATGTTATCTGAAGTGTGTTACTTATTAGTAAACGTAGCATTTTTCTATTGTTTGCAATGTTAAAGTTTGTGAGTTATAGTTATCTTTCACTAGTCCCAACCACAGTCCTAATTTAGTGGGTTATTTAAAAATAACTCTTGAAAATCGAATGCTGAATTTAAAAAGTAAAGTGCACCTCACAGAATATCTGTTATAGAACTATTCATCTAAGTCTCTAACACAAAGAATTAAGGACCTAGTAATAAAAGTTTCTTCCTGGCTACCCTATATATCCTTGACTGATGCCTGTTCGTATCTAGACCGTTAATATATATCATGTCAGTGACAATTACTTCAAGAATTATACATAAATTAAAATATATTCAATTAAATATAATATGGTCATAGATTGAGTCAAAAAAGAATATTCGATTCTCTTTTTTTCCTTTTCGTTATTATGAACATTAACTGTACTGTCCGCGTAGCATATATAAGTAGGACATGAAGTAGAAAAGTTTATTGATATAAATAAAAAAATTTATGTATAACAAACAACTTGATATCATTTCAATACGGCAATAAATAATCTGTGACAAGTTCGACCTCTCGATCAATATATTTTTCTTTTTGTTTCAAAATCTGCTTGAACAGTCCAAAAATGTTTCATTGATAATGCATGACATACTTCTGTCAATGTAAAATGAATTGTGTATACATACAAAAATCCACTCAATATAATTGATATAATTAATGTTATCATAAGGAATGATGGCATAAAATATGCAGTAAAAATTGGTAATAGTATTGGACATTGACCAATTAATACTCCCAATATATCAAAATTTTTATCATTCGTTATTTCTGCAATTATTGTTCGATAGATTGAATAATTCCATGGTATTGCTATTGCAAGTAAACAAATTAATGAATGTTCTTTATATAATATTGATACACATGGTATATAGAAAAATGCACAAATAATAACAAAGAAAAGTGGAGAATAACCACGAAATAGAGATTTTATTGTCATACTTAGAACACCTTTATGATGAATATAAATTTGTTTTAATGATGATATAAAACACAAAATAGCTGAAAAAGATAAAATCGGTACGATAATTATCATTAATAGTAATTTTGACTTTTCAGACGTCCATATTAATGGATAAATAGCTGTTATTAAATATATTAATTGCATTCCGACTAATGCTTCTGTCGGATTACATGGTCCAGATTGAAATCTCATTTTTCTTGTTACAACATGTTCATATGTCGGAGCATGAAAACCAACAAATGATGTTAATAAAACAAATACTGAATAAATTGGTGAAAGATGTTTATCTATATGAGTTAATCGTGTTATTGTTGCAATACTTGTTAAACTTGTTACAATTGAATCAACACCATGATCGAATATCTGTGAAAATAGAGCGTCTTATTTTCAATTTTCTTCTAATATGAAAACTTACTTCAGTTGTCGCATTTTCATACATATGAACACGTTTACCTTGCATTCCATCAAGTGCATCAGCTGTTTGATAAATAAATAAAGCTATTCCATATATTAAACAATTCAAACCATTATCATCTGACGTATTTATATGAATTAGTATAAAAGCAAGTAGAACAATTATTAAACCAAAACTTGTAACCAAATTTGGTGATATTCTTTTTGGAACTAAGATAAAGAATAAAGCCCATAATTTATACATAAATGGAGCTAAGAATGATTGATCTTCTCCAGCATATTTATAATTTCTTAATGCTTTTTTCTTATTATCATCTAATAATAAACCATCATTCAAAAGCATTCCATCAAGTGCATCAGCTGTTTGATAAATAAATAAAGCTATTCCATATATTAAACAATTCAAACCATTATCATCTGCCGNATGCCGTTGGTACCAAAACTACCATGACTAAAATCTTGCAAACGTTATTTATAGTCTAGATCTTATATCATATTCATAATATGTAAAGGCGGTCGTCCATCATTGATTGATTGATTCAAAGAAACAACTTGAATTGGCCAATCAGAAAGAATTGTTTATTTTTACGTGTACATTTAATGTATGCAGAACAGAAACGAACACGGCTTTTTAAAATATATTGCACTCATAAACGGGGGTGCCTTCAACGGAGGGGGAGACGTGCAATACTATGTACAGAATACAGCAAAACGATGCTTACTATATTAAATCATTACTTAAACTCCCTAGTGGTATGAACCAAAAAGGTAGAAGATCGGTAAGCATAGTTGTAGATGCATGTCAAGCGTAAAATAATCATTTTCTTAGTAGTTGTATCCTCTATGTTATAGATCTAAATTATTCTTTGATAGATATTTATTGAAGAAGTAAAAATAAACTACAAATTTCTAACGGAAAATTTCGAAAATGTTTCTTCTATGCCCATCGTCCTAGAATAGCCATAAACGCTGCACCAAGATACAAAGCAACAAAATATAAAAATTTCACACGTTTTTTCAATTCAAAAAATCCATGTGCTCCGACACCCATTTCACCGGCCATCAAGTTGACCAAAGCGACATAGATCAAAATACCACCTGATACAGAATCTAAGATACCAGTCGACACTAATGCAGCTTCTGATTTTGGATTGTATGTATTTAAATGAATGCCAATACCGATCGCAATACCAACCGGAGTAGTGAGAGAGAAAAATATTACCATGAGAATAGCTGGTAATATCGATTTATTTTGAAGTTGTGAAATTTGTGCACCAAGTGCAATGGCTTCGAAGAATTGATGAAAACAAAGTGCAATAAAAAGTGCTACAAAATTTGAACCATCATCAGTACCCAACGTCACACCAATGAGAACCGAATGTGTAGCAATACCGAACTCAAGTAAATATGTAGTGACACGATGATTATGAGTATCTTGTAGTAGTGATAAACCATGACTATGACCATGTTGTTGATTGCTTTCAACAGATACAATAGTATGTTGTGCGTTAGCTTCTTCAACACCAACTTTTGTCTCTTGTATTGATACCCTGTGTAATTGATGATGCGCAATGAATTCGATGAGTTGCATGGCCAGTATAGCCAGCATGGCAAATAAACCTGCATAAGCTTCATAATCTTTCCAACCTTGTGGTAGACATTCATCTGTCAATGTCTCCATAGCTACTGGTAAGATATGAATAAATGCAGTAGCAAGTATCACTCTAGAAAAGAACAAGAAAAACATTGAGTGAATGCCTTTGTCAAACAATTCAAATGCATACCCGGTGCCGAAAAATTTTCCCGTATTAATTATTATTGATGGTATATGTAAGCGTTTGATACAGATCGGAAGTACGGCGATTGAAGCACCAAGAAAAGAGATAACACGTAGAACAAAAACCGAAACAATTCGAAGATTCAGATTGTACAATTCACTGTCGACTTCTGTAGCTTCGCATGAATCCGAAGTAGATCTGGGTAATCTTACTTGAACGTTTCGATATGAATCTGTTGGAATATTCATGGTGTTGCTTTTGGCACTAGAATATATCTAAAAAAGAATAAAGAAAAAGATGGCTTAGTTTCTGATCTGAATTGCAACAAAATGATGTAGAAACGTTGTGTTGTATGGTAATTGTATTCATTTATATACGACTAAAGTAGCTTCGACAACTTTATTTTTGTCCTCATATTTAACCATGGATACATCTATTCTCATTCATCAGTTTTGTGTGCATTGATCAACAATAGATGGTGAAATCGGGTGCCTCAACTTGTCAACAGGCAACTTCGATATAGTAAGCTACCTGGATGTTAGTGTTTTTTTTTATGATAGATTTTTTTCTCTCTGCTGCTGATTTTTCGTTTGATCAATGCATAGCCCGAAACTGTTGTGAATGTAAAAAGAACGTTTACATTTTCATCTTTGTTCGCATGTACACGATAGTGCTTTCAATCATTAATTTTTACTTTTGACAATTCTCTTTCGAATGATTTGAATACTTTTTGATAAAAAGGAGTATCACAAAAAATCTTGCTTGTAATATGTCGACTTATAAGTTATCCATACACGTGGTATCATTTAGAATTCTACGAGAAAAGTACTTCATGGCATATTTTTAGTGTGGAATGGAATTTTCTTTAGGGGGACTGAATCTGCAAGAAGGATATCTACATACACTGTAAAAAAAAAGGAACTGTACAGAACCTCAAAAAAGGTTCGGTAGATGACAAAAAGCTTGCAAATGTGTTCAAAGTTTAAAAAAAAAGAATTAAAAAAATACACGGAACCTTTAAAGGATCTGACCGTGTGCCCGCAATCCGATCCTTTTTTCTTCGAAACCTTTTTAAGTTCCGTAGACCAAAAAATAGGTTTTTGTAGGAAAATACGAAACNTAAATGGATACAAGAAAAAGTTGGTGGTGTTCAAGGAGCCGTTGTAACCGTGCCAATAGTTGCTTCATTTGAACAAGCATTTCAATCAGTTAAACGTGGTGGTCGTGTTGTAGCTGTTGCTTTACCAAACGGTAAAATGGCTGTACCAATTGTTGATTGTGTTCTTGGTGGTATTGAATTAGTTGGTTCAATTGTTGGTACACGTAAAGATTTACAAGAATGTTTAGATATAGCTAAACTTCATAAAATTGAATGTAAAGTACAAAAACGAAAATTAGAAGAGATCAATGATATTTTCGAAGATATGCTCAATTATAGAATTAGTGGTAGAATAGTTCTTGATTTTACTACTCAATAAATTTACTTTGTATTACTTAGTTATAAATTATTTTAAATAATTAAATAGATTATTAAATCATAGAATTATTATTGTTGTATTTTCATTGCATTTTTCCAGCGTTCAAACGTTTTGTGTAACTCAGCTTTCGTTTTGTCTAAATATTTCTGCATGCTTTTATTGATATTTTCTGTATCATAGATTAATCTTATATTAAGTTAAAATAAATTATTTTTACACGTATAAAGTTTTATGATTCAAATGTTACAATGAAAGCTTGAAATATGTTATCAATCAGAATTTTATTCGTTACATCTGTCATTTATTATTAATTTGTAGTTGACAACAAACATAGATTGTATGATAGAACAAGCAAATCGTCTTGCCTATGAATTCTAAAAATAATTTTTTCAATCATATTTTGAAGTATAATCAATAGAAATATCGACTTTTTAAATATGAAAATGTCTGATTGCTTCCGTTCTTTTCTTTTTGAAAGAATGAGAATAAAGTGATAAATGATACTATTATTGACAAATGATGAAGACATTCGGTAATATTTGAAGTAGACTTCAGAAAAATTGTTTTTAATTAATACAATGTTTTTTTCATAATGAACATAATCTTTAGTCAATTTTCTATTGAAATAATCAAAAAAGATTTTAATTTATATTGAACAAAAAAAGATAATCGAATATCTCATAATATAAACATGCCAAATAAATTAATTCTGTTTATGTTGTATTCATTGACTCTATCTTATTAAGCAAAATATTCGACACTATTCAATACGATGACAATAATTTATGAAAAGTCATACACCATGTCAAAAGTGTATATATCGTCAATAGAATGCAAAAAATCAAGTTGTAAGCGCAATTCCTATGGGATTAAAATGTAAAATACGATGTAGTTGCTCTTGCTTATCACAAAAAGATTGTTTTATTCTATAATAATGGAGAAAAAATTAAAGCATTCATATCTTTTAGTTTTCTTCTCGATGGTAATAGCTAGTGAGAATTTGAAAACCTATTTGAATAACCAAAAGGATTCTGCATCAGAATTGTTGCTTCTATGAGAAATTTTTGGGATCTTTTATAAATTGAATGCAGTTTCAATGAAGAAACGTCATGAAGAAGAGGGCCGAAACATGTTACTTTATTTTATAGAATAAAACCATTTTCAAAAAACTTTAGATGAATGCCAGAAAACTAGTTTTAGAGTTGTTGGTTTTTCATACATCCTTATTCAAACAGTTTTATTGGAGTTTTTAGATCCATCAATCTTTAAAGAAAATCATACACACTGACAAAAGTATTAAAAATTATTCAAATTTTTAATTGAGTTAAAGGCGAATAGCTAACTTTTAATAATGGTTCTAAACTTGGTCGATATGTCGTTGACATCATATTAGAAAAATGAATGTTCCTATGAACTAACTTTAATCATATGTAATTAATCATGTAAAATACTATACATCGTACATTTGAAATGTGCATAGTGTTCACTGTTTATCCAGGTGTAATTCATTAAACTATCTTTAAAACAACGATCCCATTCAGCCTTCAGAATGTATAGTGAGTGATGAAGAATTAATCATCATAAACTGTCACTATATGTTCATAAATAATAAATGAGGCATAGTCTCCCCAGAACAAGAAATTTCATCACTGAGTAATGCTCAATTTCTTTTTTGTTTCAGTGTATTGTTGGGTGGTCCACAATGTATTTTTCTATTTCCATGTATATCTTTCATTCAGCAAAGCTTATGATCTCTTTAGATAGCGAATTGTATGAACTACACACAAATAATAATACAGATACAGTAGCGCTTCTTATCATTTTTAAATAAGGTCAATTGAGCAATTTCCAAGGGGGAAACAGCAGAGACTTCGGTCGTGAAGTCCCATGAAGTCAGCTGTTTTCTCCTTGACAATTTCTTGAACGCCCTATATATAATAACGAGATGTAATGGATGCACAATCTGTGATCGTATATCAACAATGTCGGACATGATCTGTGACGTTTTCACGGTTGCGTCTATCAAGGTTTATAGACTGAAGAGGAGGTCCAAATTGTTCCCTCTATACTTCAATACTTCTTCTAGATCGTGTTACACAAAATAGTGCACATGCTTTCTATAGTAGAATTCAAAGATCATCTATCTACATAAAATGTAACTATTTTATTGATATAAATTGTATTTGATATTTGAATATTAGTACACAAAGCGATGTTGGTAATTCATTTAATTCAACATAAAAAAATGAAGTTTTTCAATTAATCATAAAAAATAACTGCTATTACTATTGAATCGAAAAAAAACAAAATGATTCATTTATATTCAAGTATCTCTTGTATTAGAACTTCTTCAATAAAATTAACTATTATCATATTAGTAGAGTTCATTAAATATAATATTTACTATTTATATAGTTTCTAAGGTGAGCTATCAATATGATAAAGTTTTGCCCTTGAAATAGACGTTTTATTATGTGTTGTACACATTTTTATACTTGTGATCTATTAATAAATGCATTTTTGTCTATCAATAATTGATTGCTGTCGCCATTAAAACTTAATTGCTATTAATGTCTATAGTTACTCATTAGGCAATTCTACGAAAAAACAAATGCAAAAATTAGAAAAAACAAGAAAAAAGAAGAAAAAAAAGTTGTTTGCGTCTACTCAAATGAAATAGAAAAAGAACAACGAAAAAAAAAGCATGTACAGCCAATAGCATATATAATTAAACTCGTTCCTTTTTCTTGCCTTCTCGTGAATTAAAACAGAAAAAAAAACAATCTTCTCAATACTTGTCAATGCTGTGTTTGTTTTTTGTAGATTTATTTAATTTACAAGGCTCTGTTGTTCTAAAAAAACAGACTGATTCATACTTTTCATTATTTTTTATTTCACAAGATGAAAAGTATTATTTACTTCCTTTTTCATTTTCTTCTATGATGTGTTTTGATTATTTAAAATAAATAAACAATGTCAAGATTTTTTTTGTGTGTTACATTTTAAAACTTTAATTCTACTTTTTTTTATTCAATAAATAAAACATTTTAATACTATTCTCATGAAGAATCAAGAGTATGTATGTTTTATAATTTTTCTTATTGAAAATTTTATCGATGAATTTTGTATAAGTTGGTAATAAAAACCTCTAGCAAAAAATGAAACAATCATTCATAGTATTTTTTATTTTCGTTTCATTTTATTTCAAATTTAGTTCTTTACTAGTTCAACTCACATTTAAAAGAAAATCAGAACGTATATAATGAAATTCGTTAATGTATTGAAATGGAATGAACCTGTGAAAAGTACAAATAAGTATAAGTTTTTTTTCGGAAAATGAAAATAGTTACACAATATTGCTGCTAATTTTGTGGATTTTCACATGCATACGATTCTTATTTGTGTCTATGTCTTGAATCGATTGCAGTCAACATTTGATTAGTGATAACGACATGACATGTGATTGATAATTAGAATCATCATGATGTTAGATATTCGTATGTCAGCAGTTGTTGAAATGAAAATGATATCTAAATCAATGTCCAATGTATGTTGTTGTTACGATTTGAAGAAAATTGGATGCAGAATCATATTAAACGATAAGAAGAAAACCGACAAATGCGAAAACTTGCGTTTCTTTTACTTCATTCGTGATGAGAGAAAAATGTTCTCTTATTCTTAATTTATTGCAAACCTATATTACGTTGTCGTTCTTCGACTTTTTTTTCTCTAGATATTATTTCAACTATGGGCGCATGTAATAGGAAACAAGAACTATGCAAACAAGATAGTATACATAAAATTCAATACGAACTTCTTAAATCTACTGATGGTTATGATAAAATACCAATTGTAACACTCGAACAAGCTGTTCTACCATTGACTCCTTTTTTACCAAAAATTCAAACATATGTTGGTATAGTCAAAGAAAAATGTGAAAATCCTGCTGATGGATTAACATCTGATGAATCAGCTTCTATTATGCTTTATTCAATAGGATGGCAACCAATGAATGAATGTTTGTATGTTGTTTTAAATACTACATTACAATCAATGAATCGACAAAACTTGAAACCATGGTTCCTATATTTAAAACTTCTATTTACTGCTGTTATACGTCTTCCATCAATTCATTTAAGTGTTTATCGAATTAGTAAATTAGCTTTAATAAAACAATATCAAAAAGATGAAATAATTATATGGTGGGATTTTCCATTATGTACAACTTCAATTGAACATTTTCAAACAGAAAAATCTTTGGATAAAATTGAAACAAAAACAATATTTACAATTGAATGTAATACAATTAAAGATATACATAAACATACTTATTGTCAATCGGATAATTCCCTATTAATTTTACCTGGAACACAATTTAAAGTACTTGAATGTTTAGAACAAGATGATAATCTTCATTTAATTACTTTACAAGAAATTCAATCATCATTTCTTTTACAAGCTGTAAGTTTATTTTTATTCTCTTTTTCTTTTATATAAATTAAGAAATATTATTTCATGAAATTTTTTATCTAGCAAACATCACATATTAAATCGAAAAATTTCTTAAGAAAGTACGAATCAAATTTATTCAATATTGGAAATTAAAAAAAAACGAAATAAGAATATATTTTTTTCTATTATTTAGATTTTTATCATGTCATAAAGAATCTAAACGATTTTCAACAAGTCCAAAAACTTCAATATCTAATAGTAGTTATCGAAATCAATCACTTGAACAATTAGTTTTTGAAAGTGGTCGTGGCTGGACTGTAGATCTAGATGAACAAAATATAACTGATCAAGATATAAAATTTATTGTTAAACATGCTATTATTAAAAATCATTGTAAACGTATTCGATTACGAGATAATAATATAACATCATTAGGTGCTTTAACATTAGCCGAAGGTTTAAAGAATAATATGACATTAGAATCATTAGATTTACGAAATAATTTTATATCAGATTTAGGTGTTAAATCTTTAGCATTAGCAATTATAAATTCAAATCTTAAAACACTTAATCTTGAATCAAATGGTATTACAACAGAAGGTGCACAATATTTAGCTCAAATGCTTAAAAATAATCAAACATTAACAGAATTATACTTATCTAAAAATCATTTAGGTGATCGAGGAGTCGAATTATTAGCAAATGTACTTAATGATGATAAGAAAAATCATCACGATCGAGATAATAAAGAAGTAAGACTTTTATTTCATAATGATTGAATTTTGTGTTATTATTTGGTTAAATACATTTTTCTCTTTAAAATAATTAATTATACAATCGAAGTTTAGTGTCGATTCAGATTTAACGCCACCTTTACCCCTCAACAATTGATCTCAGCCCAGGAATGTTCGAGTGACATGAAATTTTCTGGATATGTTGGGGCTTTAGTGGAACAGCTATGGTGAAAAATTTTGTCCGATAATGTGACGTTTGAGGGAGATACTAGCTAAACAAGAGTCAAAAGCAGCTCGTTTGGTAATCTAAATTTCTCTGTTTAGGTTTATTCTATTATATTTAATTTTTTTTTGTTTGAAAGAGTATATCAGGATGCAGGACACTACAGAGTCCTTTTTTTTGAATTCTTACTTTTTAAGCAGAAAGAATGAATCATAAGTTCAATGACTTAAAAAGACCCTAGAAAATGACGGTTTTTCTATAGAGATGTTTTGTTATATTGTTATAACAAAGCTTACTCAAAAAGATGACTCTGTGGTATCCTGCATCTTGACGTACTCTTTTCAACAAGGAAAAAATTTAAATACGTCACATGGGTCTGGACCGAGAAATTTCGTTTGCGCGTTCGACATATCATCGATTGAGAAACAACGAAAAAGATTTCCTTTTTTCTTCCGAAAATAGTATATTTTTCCAATAGGGGATGACGGAAATCTTGAAAATTTTTTGGAAAAAAACGAGGTGGTGAGTAAAAGTTTTTGTTGCTTACGAAAGATCAAATCACGAGCTATCTTCCTATGCTTTTAACTTAACTTCGAATCATTCTGACAAAAAGTGACTTTTTTCACGGGGAAGGGGGAGCTTATTCTTTTCAATTGTGATTCTCCGAATGATAGCCTTACATTGTAATGTTACACAAGATATTACCGAATCTCGAAAGAGAAGTAAGATTCATCGTGGAGGCAGAAGAAGTCACGCCCCTCGAAATATCCGGCTAGGCCTCGCGGATGTTATGGTTATTGTATTCGGTACTACACCTATGCGCTTCCAAAAAAATGTATTCACTCCTCCGCAAGAGAAAACCTAGATACAAAACTGGTAAAATTGATCAAACATTGAAGAGAATATCCTAATAGTGCCCATTTTAATATTTGTTCAAGTAAATTTCGAACGAAGATCTTTTTCTAAGCCTTTAAAAATCTATTGAACAGATGAAATAGTTTTTTTAAATCATTTCACACGGAGTGTGGCACCAAGAAAAGATAATCTCGCGATTGTTAGTAGATATGGGCAAGACTATCTCAATGTTGGCTTAATTGAGACCAAAAACAATTGTTTCCGCTCAAGTCTAACTGTCAGCGATATTCACGGCGTAGAATTTTACATTATTTTGAAAGCCTAAAAATCAAACTGTTTTTCTATAGGTAGATACATCGAATCCATCGATTCTTCAACATCTTTATCTTGGTCATAATGATATAACAGATGTCGGTATTAAACATCTTGCCGATATGCTAAAAACAAATCGAATGTTAACATGGTTATGGTTATCTGGAAATGAAATAGGTAATCGAGGAGTAGAATTACTAGCCAATACACTTGCTTATCATAATAGTAGTCTTGAATGGTTATTTCTAAATTCGAATAACGCTATTAGTGATCCAAGTGTTGATGCTCTTGTACAAATGCTTAAACGTAATCATTCTTTAAAAACAATCTATATAAATAATTGTAATTTATCTGAAATTGCAAAACAAACACTTCAAGAAATGATTAAATCAAAAAAAGATTTTGATTTAGAAGTTTAATTTGTAATTAATGTTTTTTTTAATTTTTATTTTAAATAAATTTCCTTTTCTATAATATGACAACAACAGATGAGAATGGGTACGTCAAATAATTCGTTTGATAAATTTTATAGTTTGTTTTTCTTATTCATATAATAATGGGGTATGGGTGTGGGTGAATAGAATACCCACACCTCACACCCAATCCTTGTCGAGAGCTAGAAGTGATGAAAAAAAGACGTAAGAGGAAGGAGGAGACAACCCTAAGTTGAACAAAATATCACTGCCAATTTTGAATGTTTATTTCAATGATTTTGAATAAAATCAAATTTTTATTCTTTAATCTATTTGAATTCGATAAAAATAAAATCCTCGAAGAAAATAACAACATCATTCGCCTAGAAAATTTTAATGCCAGAAAAAAAGTGCTATTCAATCAACAGTATAAATAACTCGTACAAAAGTTGTATCACTATTAAGTCCAACATTACTACCACATCGATATCCACCATATATTGAGCTAGTATGCCAGCAGAGTCGTAGATCTGAATCAGTCGAACCTTCAGTACTTGCATCTGAAACATAATAATTATAAATAATTATAATTATAATCTTTGTTCCGTATTCTTACCAGTATCACAACGGCTACGATAAACAGTATCGTTATAGTTAGCAAATCCCCAAGAATAATCTGAAGAATAGTACCAACCAACTCCATTAGCTATATGTGTACAATTGACAATATGACTACAATCATAAAGTACATCGGATCGAAGACCCATTGCGGCTAATTGCAATATAGTCGAATTAATAGGTCGACAACCTAATAACAATTTGCCTTTGTTACATTCAGTTAGAATTGTAGCAAGAAGTGTCGAGTTTAATACAACATCATATGTATCATTATAACATAAAGTCCAACCATCTGGTAAACTTGTTGGATCAAAACTTTTTTGTACTCCACTCATAGTAAGAGGGACTATCCAATAGAAAAAATATATGTTAAACTAAATAAAACAAAAATTAACTAATAAAAATTTACCTGAAGCTGTTGTTGTAGTTGTTGTTGTCGTTGTTGTTGTTTCTGTTGTAGTTGTGGTTGTTGTTGTCGTTGTTGTTGTTTCTGATGTTGTAGTTGTTTCTGTCGTTGTTGTTGTTTCTGTCGTTGTTGTTGTTTCTGTCGTTGTAGTTGTTTCTGTCGTTGTTGTAGTTTGAGTCGTTGTAGTTGTTGCTGTCGTTGTTGTTGTTTCTGTCGTTGTAGTTGTTTCTGTCGTTGTAGTTGTTTCTGTTGTTGTTTCTGTCGTTGTAGTTGTTTCTGTTGTTGTTTCTGTCGTTGTAGTTGTTTCTGTCGTTGTAGTTGTTTCTGTTGTTGTTGTTGTTTCTGTTGTTGTTGTAGTTTCTGTTGTTGTCGTTGTTTCTGTTGTTGTTGTTGTTTCTGATGTTGTTGTTGTTTCTGTCGTTGTAGTTGTTTCTGTTGTTGTTGTTGTTTCTGTTGTTGTAGTTTCTGACGTAGTTGTTGTTGTAGTAATTGTCGTTGTTGACTCATCTCTATTCGATGTTAATACAATAATTAAAGGAATAATTATTGCAGCAACTAGCATTAATGCTATAAGTAATCCAGCTAACACTTGTGCATTACAACAACAACAACAACAACAACATGGTTTTAGTACTGCAGCTGCTGCTACTTTTCGATTCCTGTAAAGCTTATAATAGAAATTAAAATAGAAATTCAATTAAAGAGAAAACATTACCGATTTTCACTATTTTTATTTCTATATGCATAGACTCTTGGTGTAGTCGCACGAATAGATACTACTTTAATATGATCTTTTGTCGAAGAAACGCTAGTTGATACTGGTAAAGACTTACGATTAGTTGTTTCGACTGGTTGGACTTTTGATTTAGACGGAGGTATTGACACTTTTGAAGTCTGATTTATTGGTAATGGAGCTTTTTGTTTTACTACAGGTTCCGGAATATATACTGTTTCAGTATAAAGTTTTGGTGAAGGAGTAGTAACATATATTGTTTCGGTTTGATGCGTTGGTAAAGGTGTGGAAATATATACTGTTTCATTTTGATAGTTTGGAGATGGAGTCGGAACATATACTGTCTCAGTTTGATAGTTTGACGACGGAGAAGGAATATTAACTATTTCAGTTTGATCCTTTGGAGAAGACACGGAAATTTTTTCTAATTCACTATTGGACGAAGAAACTATCGTTCGTTTACGATGCAACATATTTTGAAAGAAAATTAATGCTTAACTGTTTTATATAGTGCATGTTTTGTAACGTTATTTGTCTTGTTTCTATTTGTACTTAGTGTATTTTTTGTTAATGCATAGGTAAATGGAATTTTATTTTAACTTATTAAGATGAGAATAATTATAAAAATAAGAGAATCCTAAATAGTATACATCGATCAAATAGACATGCTATTAAAAAATAAGCGTTTAACAAGCAATGGTTAGAAGATGTTGACCTCATGCAAAACAAAAAAAAAGAAACCTCAGAAGTTTATAACGCTACGGTACTATCATCATCGATCAAAAAAAAGTTTCAGTAACAATATTTTCTTTGTTTCTAATGAGAACGATTTAATAAAGAGCAGAACAGATAAAAGACCGTATTAGTTAAGTCAATAATATGACTAATGATTTCAACATTTATCGAGTTGAACGACAAAGGAAAGCTCGAAAAAAAGATTTTTTTAAAATACGAATCATTACTAAAGGTAATGCAATTTCTTCCAATGCATATAAATATTAAGCTTGAATTATCACATACAGATTTATCGGTAATCATAGATAAAAAAAAACATCAAATAACATAGAATGAGATATTTTTATAAATTATTAAATGACAATAATCAACTTTTATTTTCATATTACTATTATCGAGAAACTTAGCTCGAAAATTTCAAGAGATAAAAAACATAAATATACTCGAGATTCAAGTAAGAATTTAATTTAATTATTTATGAAAAAGTCAAAAGACTGAACATTTTCTTTTTCAAGAAAGTAAGTATTGGTAGACTGTTTAATGTCTATCTAAAATAGATTGAGTTTACATGTCGATTCTATGAGAAGTATCGTGAATTGACGACTCTTAAAACGAAACAACAATGAGAGAATCCTATGAAATAACAACCATTAAAGAATACTTAACCTTATACTGTTTTTTTTATTCTATAAAAGCACTCATGCACTTTGAAAATAATGACAGTTGACAACAAGAGAAAAACAAAATATTAATCAAGGGTTACTCTCTGTTTTCGAAGTTTGTCAGATAAATTTGAAACTCTCAGGATAGATAGATCTTGTTGACGACTACAGCAAAAGTTTTCATTCCAAATGCTACCTTCTATGTGATAGTAGACTTACAATTGGTCAAAATAACCACCTCCCCGTTTTTCCGTGATACTACGTTCCATCATGTTCAAAACTTTTTACATGTATTGAACAGTATTTTGAGTGATTATTTCTTTTAGTTTTCATAAAAAAGCCAAAATTCTGGACCTCTCCCTAAAACGAGGCTAGTTTGTTTGTTCTTACTAGAACAAAGCTTGTAAAAACTGCCAGAAATCACCAGAGCAATGGTTTTTGAAAAAAAAAACAAAAATATACCAATGCTAAATGGTGACCAGTATATGTGAGAAATGTTTCAGCTCGATGTCACTTAGCATGTCGCAGAAACAGAGGAGAAACATTACTTCTTTTTGAATAAAATTTGATTTTGAGAAGAATCCAAAACAAAATTCAATGTCAATTTTCTCTTAAATAAATGCCTGCCAATTTTGACTTAAAGTTGTGATTTTTGAAATAAAAGAAAATAGTCTTCACATTGGCTATAGCTATTTATATTTTATTGCACTAGCACAGTTGTCTTTGGAAAGACCACATTTCTGCAAACTTCGATGAAATAACGATATAATAGAAATTTATTAAAAAATAAATAAACATTTCATTGAGCATAATCATTTCTTTTTCTTCATTATTATTTAGAAATAAACAAAATGCAAAGAATCTAAGAATAATATTGCAAAAAACGGATAGTTTTTACGAATCAGACATGATTCTTTAGCATTACATTTGAATACTTCACTTATAAAATAATGATTATCTTTGTTTAGCTATATTTTATAAACTTTTGTTTAGATTTCTTTCATAGATAGCTTGACCCTACAAATAGCTTTATGTAATAGGCCTTCTGACTTAGCATGCTCTTCGGTAGGTGTATACCAGGGCAAAATTTCAAATTTTAGTCTGACTTGGCTCTTACGTTCTAGAACTCTAATCCTGATGCAATACCTTATTATTCGGAAGTACTTTGACAAATTCATTCGATTCAAACAATAAACACTTGAAGCGAATGTCAATTGAATGTTGTTAGTACTGGTATTGGCTGAGAAACAGGGGTGGTATTTTACAATTACTTTATAAAGATAAAATAAAGGAATTCAGGATTCTTTTTCTCCAGCGATAATGATTTTGGGAGTGTTCTAGAATTTCAGAACTGATGCTCAGAAAGATTTTTATCATTAAACAAATACATTTATATAGAAAACAAGGTAGTAAAGACATTATATGAAATTTGTTGCCTTTTTTCTCACAATAATTAGCAGGTTTCAGTCACAAAAATGAAAATTGAATCAAAACTAATATCATATTCTGAATTAGCATAAAAAACGGGTCCGACTTGTAAGTATTTGAAATATTTTTGAGCTCTTTTTTTTTCATCGAAAAACCCATTCGGACACTTCCCCGCTGCCCCCACACGCACACTTTAGGATGATTGGGTCAAAAAATGAATTCTACCAGAAAAAGGTTTTGGTAATAACAAAAAAGCTCTAAAGTTATAAAATGATAGTAGAACACAAACGAAGAATGTTTAGATAATAAAAACAGCTTGTTTGTCGAAATCATGTTTCGATAAAAAAAAAGATCTAAAAAAATATGTCAAATACTCATAAATCAGATCCAGTTTTGATGCTGATTCAGAATATGATATCAGTTTTGATTCGATTTTCATTTTTCTGACAGAAATCTGCTAATTATCATTAGAAAAAAAAGCAACAAATTTCATATAATGTCTCAACTAGCTTGTTTTCAATACAAAGATCCTACACCACTCCCAACATCATTATCGTTGGAGAAAAAGTATCCTTTATTCCTTCCCTCTATTTTAAAGGATAGTAAAGATAATGGGTCACTCCTAGTCACTAAATAAAACAAAAGACGTAGAGCAACATTTTTTCAAAAGAGACAAAAACATTTATTTATTTTTGAACAAAATATACAGAAATTAGTCACTAAAATGACTTTATTATTTTGTTGATGTTGAATCAATTTTTCTTGTTTGTTCTGTATGCTTTTGTGTCATGGCACTAAGTACAGTTGCTGAATGATTTTTAAGACTAAGTAATTTATAGACTCTTGCCAGGAAAAATATTAGCCAGTATAATGAAATGCTATTTAAAATGCTGATAGATAAGAATGATCTATGATCATAATGATTAGTCTTTCCGAAATTTCTATATCCGCTACTGCATCACAGTACGAACTTCACTCGTGTCTCACCCAATTTTCTGTTTTATAGGCTAATCTATGTTTTTTTTATTATGCTGTTCTTATAATNTTTTTCTAATTTTTAATCGCACATTCTATTTTCTTACAATAAGATACCCAAAATGCAAATTTGTTTTGAATTTCAAGTTTTACGATAACTAAAATGATCATAACAACAAAAGTTAATATAACCATTCTATTTATGTTCAAGACAATCTGTGAATATGATTAATGATAGATGAAAAATAAGAGCAAGAATCAATAAATAGGAGCCATCAAATATATGTTAATACTTGTTAATAGAATTCTTTGAGTAATGAATTTTATAATGACTACTTTGCATTTGACTTCGATATTGAATCGTAAATATCTTTTGGACAAAAAAAAAATAGCGTTTCGTAAACACGATTATTCTTTTTTTGTGACATACTCATTTATTCATCAATCGACATTCGAGTGAAAAATCGAATGCCGTCTAATAATTTATCAATTGAAAGTTTCAAAATTAGACAATCAATATATTATGCGTTTTGAGCAGAGGATAGAGCTGAAGAATTTCTTTAGTGTTTATCTTTGACATAATAAGTTATTATTTTTATAACACACAAAATGTCTTTAGTATCATTTATATCTATTTTATTTTATGTTTTCCAACTTAGATAATATTCAAGAATATAGGTTTATTATTTCGTGTTCTATTTACTCTGCGTCATATTATGTTTTATGCTGTGCTTATCTTTGATTATCAGTATGAATGATAAAATAGAATATATTTCTACATAGAAATTAATACCACAGTCGTGTAAAATTTAGTACGTATAATTCTATAATAATCCAATTTCTTCAATGAAGTTTGTATTCTTTATGTTTTAAGTAAGATAAACCAATGACTTTCATTTTTGAAATAAAACAATTCTTGATAAGACAGCGTCGTTAAGTAGAATAAAATGACTCCGTCTTGGTTTGATTTCATTGATCATGAAGATTGTTTTACTAATGAAAATATGCTAAACAACATCATCAAAATATTGGTTGTTGTAATAAACTAAATGATTGAATGCAATATATCTCGAATATAATGGCACATACTTGAAAAAGTTCGACGGACTTCGGTGTTTCTCGTTGTTATTTAACACACAAAATGAAATAACTTAAATCGATCGATTGTGAAACCATAGGAAAATCAACAATCAGTGAAAGATGATTGCGATAGATAGTATCAGAATTCTGTTTAAATACTGATCGAAAATCAGTATCTATAACACGAATACCAACGATGATAAAGAAGAATATAAAAAAATATTCAGACAGATCAAGTAACAAACCATTAAAACTTCATCATGCTGTTATCGTTCGACATATAGGAAAAGAAAAAAAATATTTGTTATGTTTTGTTTCTTTCTTCACCATCACCAATGTGCATGTCCTTGTGACAAAAAAAAAGAAATTTCGTTTTATATTGACATTTCATTGTTTTTTTTTGTACAAGATGAAGTATGCCATAAAAAGAAAGTATTATTTTTGTGGGTATCGAATGCCATTACAAGCGACCCAAATCATGTGATTTTTAAATAATCTATTTATTTTCATGGAATTGAGAATATAGTGCAAGTGATTGTAAATCAATAAAACCATCAGAAAGAAATACTTTATTTAGATTCGATGTTGTGCTATAAGGAAGACTAGTAGAGTATGCTGATAACATCAGCCAGTTAAGTTCTACTGTATTAATGTGAATAGACTGTTTACTCAATCATGTACAATTGTTTTTGCTAATATAGAGCAACTGAAATAGTAGCACGAGTGTCGAATAGTCATACAACGAACTCTAACACCTTGAAAATAAACAATGATTAAGCAACGAATGAAGGTGAGATAAATATGTTTCAAAGTTACTGCTTTGGTTTTGTTCTTCTTATAGTCAAGTGTCCTTTTGAGTCATCACTTGTCGATGATGAACTAGGAAAAGCACAATGGTAAACTCAAAATGTGCTCGTGTTAACGTTATCATTATGCTAATCAGACATTCGTTTTACTTTCGTGATTAATACTTCTAATATATCAATAGGTTCAGATTAAAAGAAAAACAAAATTCTACATACAAATCTTTACTTATTGCAAACAGTTGATAAGATAAATAAACTACATCGATATTGATTTATTTATCTTTGTTGTGAATTTAATTTAAGTATTTGAAAATTTCTATCACATAAAACAAAAACAATCAAAAAAGCTACTTGAAGACCAGCAAGAATGAAAAAATAAGTGGTAAAAGTCCATTGATTAAGAGTTAGACACTAAATATTCAATAGAATATAATATAAAAGAAATGTTCATTCAATATTTTCTTTTTCATACTTACACTAAAATCGAAACCACTTGATGTAGTTGAATAAATAGAAAGATATGCTTTGCCAATAAATGATGATAATCCTAATGAACAAAATTGTAGACTCATTAATAATGATTGAGCTGACTGTGGAGCAGCTAAATAAGCAAATTCAAGGCTGGCCACAGTAGCAAATACTTCCGAAAGACCCATGCATATATTTTGTGGTAATTGAAAAAAGATGCTTAAATCTGAATAATCTTTTTCTAAAAGATTATAATTATTTCGAAAACAAAATCAATATATTTATATGTATTATAATTTACCTTTTGTACAGTGCTTTTGTCGAATTATTTCAACAATACCAGCAATACACATAGTTAATGATGCTAAAATCATACCAATGATAAGTTTAATCTTGATTGTCATTGTTCGATTCTGAGCATCCATATATTTGTAAACAAATGTTGTTAAAATGATAACACTAACTAATATTTATATTATGTAAAAGAAGAGATCTATGGCTTTTTTTTCTCTAAACAAACTTACTAATAATTGTTACTGAATCACCAAGTGACATCCAACTAATAGGTAGTTTTTTATTATTAGGTAAGAATGGTATATTCATTTGTTGACCTTGTAAAGGAAATGTTATTTGAATCTTAAAAAAAAAAGAAGTTAATAGAAATATTTTTCAGATGATTTCATCATACTTGATAATAAATAATCCAATATGGAATAAGAAGAAGAAATACAATTATAGATCTTTGAAGTGATTTAACATCATTAACATGTCGATCAAGACGTTTTCCATTGTTAGTTACTTTTGCATAATCAAGAAATGAAAGTGATTGTTCATAATTCAGTATTATTTCTTCTTGACTAATCGTACTCTGGCCACTCAATAAATTTCTTGATGTAGAATCTGTACGATCTCTGCCTATTTTTGATCTATTTTTATGATATTCTCGCCATGTTTGACATGCATTTATAATGACTGAAATACATTTCGTAATGACTGTATCATGAGGACGTGTATGAATATAGTATTGACGACCAATAATAAACAATACAGCAGAAGCAAAGAGCATGAAAATAGCAATTAAATATCCGTAAAAATAACTATTTGAATATGTTTGATTATCTGAATCAGTTTGTATTATAGGAATAGATAATGTTGCAATAATTGCACCTATATTTACAGCTACATAATATTTATCAAAATATCGTGATGAAATTTTTGATTCTTGAATTTGTTCAGCTCCAAATACAGCCATATTTGCTTGAACAGCTCCTACACCAATAGCCCTATTTTTTTTGAAAGAAAATATAAAAAGAAATTACACTTATCAATAGATTGACTCACATAAAAACGAGTGTTCCAATAATTTGAGGTCCACAATGTTCGGAAAATACCGACGTATGTGTACCTGACGTACCTTTGCATATAGATTCATGTGTATCAGTATTTGCAATTAATATTATGATTATATAACTAAATAAATAGAGAATAAAACCTATAATAGAAACAAAACTAACTCATTGTGTTATTATTTAGAATTTCGATTTATTTACCAATAATTATCGTTTTAGCTCTGCCTAATTTTGCATCACTTATTGTAGCAAATATAAGTGTTGAAATATAACTTGTACCTATTAACATAAACGAGATTTATTCACTCAAAAATCTTTCTTTTTCTTTTTATTATGTGTGCTTACTAAATCTTACCAAAAAAAATAAATGAAGCAGTTGTACTAGTTGATGGATTCCAATTTAGTTCAGTAGATTTTAATGTAACGGTAAGATTAATCGCTAATGAATAAAATGCTAAACGTTCAAAAATAGTACTTGTAAGAATAAAATATACTGCTAGTTGTCTTTGATAGGGATGTCGATTATCACGTACAGCTAAAGGAACACCATGATCAGTAATGAATACTGATGTTTCTCCTAAACTTGATTCATCCATTTATGAATTTTTCAATAAACTTCATGTAACCAATGTCTAATTAATGCAACAAATCTCAATATCTTTAACCTTATAGTATGAAAATAAAATAATATCAAGTCATGATGAATGGTCATAAAGTACAAAAAGATAATAAGAAAACGTTCCTGCTTACGTGTTATATAGATAAGAAAGAAAAAAAATAATAATAATAAATAAATTCTTATGCAACGAAACAACATAAAATATCTAGATCATATTGCATATGTATTTTCTTATTCAGTATTTCAACGTATGTTTCGTTCATCCATTGTTTGTTGTTACATTTATTTAGTTCTTTTATTACAAAGTTTTATGTTTAAATAAATTCATGATATTATTTTATTTGCTGAAAAAAAGTAAGTCGAATAAGATGAACGAACAGTAATCATATTAAAAAAATGTTCAAAGAATATACAATCATTTTACTCATCGTTTCAAAAAATACTTTTTCATATTATCAAAAATGAACTATCAATTATTTAATTTCCAAGATTTTTCTAACGATTAATTGAATTGATACTATCCCATTTATTAAGAAATATAAATACTTGCTATTGAATGTGAAATTCATGTCTATTTTCGAAGGAAAAAGAGAATGTAAATGTAAGCCGACATTTTTTGAACTTCCCTTTCTAAGACCCTAGCAACCAAGAACAGCAAACGTCAAATGCGAGAGAAAAAAAAGCGCGACTTCAGTACTAATCCTTTCTATGACGTTCTTAGCAACGGAAAAAGATACTGAATAGCATTAACAACAACACAGACGATTTTAGAACATTCGAACTTTTTCCTCGAAATTTGCTGACTGTATAATAAATTACGAAAAGCTTTATCAATATTAAATCTATTATATAAAAATTAATTTTGAACCTTGAAATTTTCTTTTCGCAAATTGTTCTAAAATTCGTTCATGAAGAGTATGATATATAGTTTGGTTTTAGTCATTGTTTTTTACTCGTGATTTTGGAGAAACATGTGAATGAACTCAAGTAATATTGATAGAATATGTTGCACTCTGTCACCATTCATCTATAATCTCAAGCAATTTCCTTAATACTTTAGTTTCTTGTTTTCTTTGATAGTTCGATCGGTAACTATATCAGTTGTTTACATGTTGATCGAAATAACCTTTAAATCGTAGTTGATAATCTAAATTGTAAAATACATATCAATAAGGGTCACATTATGATTTTGAAAATAATTCATGTAGACTAAACAAAAACTAATAATCACTTTCTGTTGTCTATAGGAATATTAGGTTGCAATGGCTGAAAACCGCTATTTATCTTTGGTCAATCTAAGGTGGGTATGGGGAGCTCAAGCAATTGAACGCAAGAGCTGCGTGTCAGGTGGATCGCCTGTCAATACTATCGATGATTTATGTTTTTTCTTGAAAAAGAAAACTGATTTATATGTATCATTTATTTTATTTTTATGTATATTCACCAATTTATGAATGCATATATTGAGATGGAATATTGAACAAAACAAAAAGCCTTGTCAACACCATAAATAAATATTGCCTTTAAAAAGTTCAAGTGAATAATTATCGAGTATATTTTGACGATTAATAATCCAATGAATTTTTTTAATCATATCAATATTTGCATTCCAACGAACAAGACATAATAAGAAAAAACGATAATTATTTTCTTTCATTTTTGATATTAAAAATTCCATAATTAATTCTTCATAAGTTTCTGCTAGATTTATTGTTAAATATTCTATTTTTGGACATAAATCGAATAGAAATCGAAGTTGTTTAAGTGTACAACATTCTCGATCAATAATAGATATATATTTAATATGATTTTCTTTCGATATTATACGAACTATTTCAATTTCATCCGTGGATACATTATGTGTTTGTATAATAGCTGTTTGAGGAATAGTCAATGAATTAATATTAGGTATATATTGAAGTAACATAAGAAACTTCTTCATAAATAAATAATCATATTCTAAAACTAAATCAGTAATCTGTGTTAAAGATATAATATTACTAAGACTGCTAATTAACAATGGAATATTTTCAGCAAAACCGCCATTAAGAGTTAATTTAGTTGTATATGGAAATCGAATTGAACAATTAATATTAGTCCATTGATTTTCAATAAGAACATGACGACATAAATGTATAGAATTATCTTGATAAGTAGATATTTCATGATTATCAATTGTACGTTCATATAATTTATAATAATTTCTTCTAAAAATAGTTGATTAATAAAAAAAAAAAAAAATTTGAAATACAATTTTTCTATTATACCTGTATGGATTAATGGAATAAACAATTTTAAAAGGTCCATAATCACTATGACAATTTTGATACGCAAAAAACCATTTTCGTTCATACCAAAATTTCGTATTAAATTGTTCAATTAATTTATCATATTCAATAGATTTTATTTGATCATCACATAATTGACTTTTAAATTGAAAATCAAATATACGTAATAGTGGCATCTGACATGAAATTAATTGTTCCCATTGTTTAGCATCAAGATAAGTTTTTTCATATTTTGCTGAAATACGTAATTCTTCTAATCGAAAAGAAATTTTACTAATAAATGATTTGAAGATATGAAATGGTGTTGCATCTAATTCAATAAATAATTTTCTTAAATTAATTACAATTATTGGTATTTGTATTTGATCATTACCAACATGCAATGAATGACACGATAAATGAGTCAGTCGTGGAGTATACGAAAGAATAGTTGTAAGTTGATTTAATTCACAAACACTATTAATAATTAAATATTCAATAGAACTTTCTTGTTGTTCATTTTTGCGAGTTAAAATTGGTATTGAAAATATCGATTCTTCATTGTCTGAAGAAATTTTACAATATTTTAAAACTGGTAGAAGAACAATTAATTGAAAAATTTTATTAGCATTATCTTTTGAATTATTAATATTTATAGATAAAGAGAAAAGACAAGGTAATGTTTTTAAATATGTTAGTAGAGATATAACATGTTCAGCATTCATTCGACCAAAATTTATTGATTCAAGTCGATTAAATGAATTATTAATTGAAAATAATGAAAGAAAAGATTTGATTGCTAATGGATTTGGTATATGAAGTGAAATAATTCGATTTAAATTTGGTATAATAATATATTTATAATAATTTTCAAAAATTGATTTCGATGTCCATGAAAGATTAAGTTTGAGTGGAAGAAGTGAATCATTAAAAAGATGTTTGAAACGAATATTAAGATTTGAAAATGTATTATAAACAAAACAACCATCAAGATATTCAAAAATTTCATAAAAAACTTCATTTGAAAGATATTCCAATTGAGTAATGAACATTTTGTCTAACAACGAAAGTAGATTTCTATCAAACTGTAATATGTTATTACCTTTTTTTTATTTCTTCGAAAATAATGTCTTACAATAAATGCATCGGAACGACACTTTTTTCTTCCTTTGTTATTATTACCGATGACGTCGCGGCTTTTTTTTCTGTACTAATACAACAACAAAAAATACTCGATGATGAATCATATAAATATTTTTGCATTTGTTTTTAATATCCTTTACTTACTTTTACGAAATGAATCAGACAATATTCGTTTTTTTCTGCATGCACATCGTAATTTGAATTGATTTGTTTTTGTGATAAGACAGTGAAAAAAAAAATATTTGCATATATAAGAGATTTGTAAAAAAGATATTGAAAAAGTTTTGTCTTATTTTTTTGACACATTTTCTCATATAATTTCATTTTTTTTCCAGAGAATCACAGTTTGGGCGAGGATAAAAGCAGCCAGATAATTTGTCAAAAGCATCAAATGATGTTTTTTCAGTAGAATCCGAACAAAACAAAAAATTGAGAAAATTCACATGCTTCATTTTGTATAAAGCTAAATACGAATTTTCAATATATCGAAAAAATATAGGTGCATTTTTTAACAAAAAACTAAGCGAAATGGTCTAAAATCACCGTTATTTTCGGCTACTGAAAAGGTGCTGTAACATATCTAGGTCAAAAAATCAGATGGGAAGATCACATAAGATCGAACTTCTGATCTGACGAACTTACGGCAAATTTTTTCATCTGGACATTTGTATAATTGAAATCTAAAATTATGATCTTATACGGTCGTCATCACACTATAATGTGAGTTTTTTTTACATTGTTTTATTAAATAATAGAGATGGTTTATGAACACATCATATGAATTTGTAGATGTGTAATATTTAATTGAAGAAGTCTTCGTTTTTGTTTTGTTACCGATTTATATTTATTTGAAAATTTATTCCACTTCCATATTTCACATAAAATTTCAAGTTTACCACGCTCTAAAAAGAATTTCCTGTCTCTGACACATTCCTGATAAGTTATGAATAGAAACGCATCGATTTTACACACTATTGAGCGTGTTCTTATGAATAGTGTACTCAACTTTCTTTAGTTGTGAGTTTGAATTCTTTACTATATGTGTGTAATCAACGACTGGTCATGACAATGAGTAATTCTTTATTATATTCTTTTCTATCATGTTCTATAAATTTATTCATTACAGTTTTTATTTACTGTAGTTGATTAAAAAATATTATTATTAAAGATAAGTCTAGAGTATTTATGTACAAATAGAGCATTGTTGTTGAAACTATTTAACGACATCTTGTTTATACTTACTCTGACAGTATTCTTTTAAGGTAATCATTTTATTTTAAAATAATGATTCAAGAATAATCGATACAGAGAACACAAACAAATTCAAGCTCTACTCAATACACATATTTCATCAAGATCTAATTTTCTTTGATAAAGACAAAAGTCATCAATGGCATGTGAATAAGCTAAATTCACAATAGGTAATGCATTAGATGCAAATCTAAAAGTGTTCTATTGATCCAAAGATGCATTCTATATGTTTGACCATAAGCAAGAACAATATGAGTCCAAACATCTTCAATAAGCACAGGATCTTGAAGTGCTTTTACTGTGGATACACTTGGCGATATTTGTGTAATTAATATACCACCAACAGTCAAACCAAGCAAATCACAGCATGGTGAATTTATTCTAAATATATGAACACTGAGAGGAACAAGAACAGCATCATTGATTATTGAGCTGCCTGCTGGTTTGATCCAAAGTGAAACTGAGAAGGCTTGATTTGTTGCATATGTTGATGTCCATGTCTTTATTTGAAAACAACTTGATGATGTATTAAAATAGAGTGCTTGATTTAGATAACTGTTTTCAATCACTAGAGTAGAACTAGGTACATTAGAATACCAGTACATTCCTTGTGCGACATATGGTGAATTCGAATCAAAAGGAAAGTAAACAGTAACAGTAGCATTATTGAATATTTGACATGATGTTTGTGCTTCGCCCAAAAACAGAACGAAATTGCTGAAACGACTGAAAAATAATAGAATAATATGTATTTATAGACATCTTAATAAATAGGAAAGAGAGCCAACTATGACAAGACCTAAAAGAGTTTATCGAATGAGTTCATAACCAAAAACGAGTCTGAACGAAATATGATTCGTTATAATTATTTTTCAATAGATTTTCTATATCATTGATAAAATGTTTCTAAAGCTGATTTCGCAGTATTTCCTTAGATTTATTCTTCGTCTTAATTTATTTTAATTTAAAACGAAAAAATAAATGAAAATGATGAGAATTCACATTTTAAATAAATTTAAATTTATTTATTTTTTTAACTATTGAATTTGTTAATTACATATCTTTCGCCGCTGTTAAAAATAACTTTTCTATTTCATCAAAAAGTCGCTCAATCACTGATAAACACATAGAGTATGTTTATTCTTTTGTAATATCATTCAGCTGAAAAACTCAAAATCGGTATACAAATAAAACTTTGATTCTGAAGACTCAGAAATGAAGTGTAAATTAAAACACTACTGTAGTTTTCTTTTATTTGACATAGATACTTTTCAGTGTTCTTCTTTTTTAATTACAGTTAATAGCAAAGNGATTTAGTAACTAAAAGCACCTGAGAATATCATTGTTTTATCGAAGCTTAAGATCTTGCAATAGACATACTCAGTTTAGAAGTATTATTCTAACCTGTATATGCCCTGTGACGGTCTCTGATATACAACCAATCGAACACTTCATTGTCACATTCATTTCTTTAAATATCATTATATTCGTCGAACTTTTATTTCGTAATTTTGAAACATTTTATAAAATATTATTGATTTTTCAACAACAGTAATATCACAAATCTAAGTTGAAAACCTACGGTCGTATACTACTGTACACGGTCATGGTAACGAACAACTATATAACATAGTAGTTTCGTCGTTTGTTACCTTTATTAAAGAAAATGTAATTATCACAGAAATAAGCTAAAAAGAATTTTGTTGCGACCTATGATTTCTCTGTATATTTATACAAGACGTGCTATTATTTGATATATAATCTATTCCGAGGAAGCGTTTTCAACTGATCAATAAATTTTTCATAAAAAACTAATCAATTGTGGTTTATCGACTATGTGGATTCCAAATACAACTACAAGAAAAATTCTCTTAGGCTTCATATGTCGGTTTCCTAGACTAATAAACTTTTTGATCTGTTTAGGTTATAAAAATATCGTATCACCTATACAACACAGTAATCTGAAAACCATCAAGATGGCGTTATTTTATTCTGTCTTAGTGATCAAGATTAGAAGATTTATTTATATTGTGTATTGAGAGCAATAAATGTGTTGATGACTTTTTTTAATGTATAAACAATATTTTATATATACAAGAAATTTTCGTTCTTTCTAACGACCACTTTTCAGCCATATAACTATTGATACAAAGAACAGTACAAAAAAAAAGTAACAACAATAATAGGTCATACGAAAAAAAAAAAACGAACGTAGTATAGTGATATCACATCATGAAGAATAATAAAATCATAATCAATATGAATCATATGTCGTGCATAAAAGTCTAAAATAATCTGAACAATATATAATCATTTATCACGATGTAATAATACATAATAACATTCTACTAAAATGAATTGAATAATTATCAATAAAAAATGATTCATTTTTCAAATAAGTAAATATCATTGAAGTTTTATATTCTACTTTATAGAGTATTATGCTGTAAAATATAAATATTTTTTATAATTGTTTATACATTAAAAACAAATAAACAAACTTATTCACATACTTTTTCTCTTAATATAACGTATAACATAAAAACCTCAAGATCAATATTTATATTTTAATACAAGATTTATTTATTTTTGATTATTATAAGAAAATTATATCTAAATAATTTTCGATTAATAATTATATGTTCCTAGAAGCTATCATCAACATCAGTGATAATATGGATACATTGCTCATTTCAAAGAATTTCCAAGAAATAAACAGAAATGTATAATCATTCGAAAATCTTTCGTTTCTACTTTCTCATTCTAAATTAAATAAAAACCTATGGCATTATATTATAGAAATTTACATTACTCTTTTCATAGATGGTCTTGTATTTCAATTTCGTGTTTTATTAACATTTTCTTAGAAAACCAAGAATTTATAAAATACTTATTTTGATATTGAAATAATCGTTATTAGCAACTAAATACTTCCAAAAGCAGATATTTCACTAGGAAAAAAAAACACTTTTTTAACCGGTAAAAAGCAATTTTATTTACAAAAAATAATTCGTTTACTCGAAAAAACAAAAACAGATTTTTAAGTGTTAAAATTTCCATAAAAACATATTGAAAAACTCATAGATGTCTATTCCACCTTATGAAATATTGTCTTGTGGACTATCTTCTATTTTTGAAAGGGCTTATAAGAACGTCATACACATATATTCGATCTGACAACTCTACATACTTTTTCACTATAAAACAAATCATATATGTCATTGCAATTACGTTGAAAATTGATTTATTTATCACAATGATCGGATTAAAAAAAAATTAACACTTGCATATAAAAATCTGAAGTTATGTAAAAAAAATAGAAAATTTGTTTTTTTTTGCTAATACTCTAATCAAAATCGTTTAAAAGAAGAAAAAATGAAAGTACAAAGTTTCTCTTAATGAATAACAGTCAACAATTATACATTTACTATCGTAAACATAAAAAAACGCAAACAAAACATGTAATTTCGTGTATATCCTTTCGTTTAGCTAAGTGAGACACGTTTTTCTACAGGATCTATTATCGTTTTCTCTCTCTCTCTCTCTCTCTCTCTCTCTTTGTAATCAGTTGTATTCAACTAATGTCAGTTGTGTAAAGTGCTTTTTTTCTCGTTTATTATCCTGTCATTCAAGTTTCTCTTGTTTATATTGACGAAAAAAAAACAAGGAAGGTAAGTGCTTACGTATAAAAACAAGTGATCAATTATCTTGTCCATCTAAAGTGACTATGTTGGTCGCAAGTAAGAGTACCTCTAATGTCAATAATAAATAAATATATAAAAAAGAAAATTTCAGCAAATTACTGTTGATCTATGTAAGTATAATGATGCAAAACTATCAAAATGATATTTTTGTGAAGTACAATCTTGTACGATTGTTAAAAATTTTTATTCTTTTTCAATAAAATATTTTCATAATAGATAAAAAATATAAACAAAAAAAAATACTTTTGTGAGGCGTCTATACTATGTATTTTTATTTACACTTTAAATCTGTTCAATTTTATGTAAGAAAAAAGAACTAAAAAAATATTGATATTATATATTGACAAGTTTGTTATTATTCATTATATAATTTTAATAAATGTATTTGTTTATTTAAGGTAAATTTAAGATGGTTAATATCGAGGATACTCATGTGCCATTGATTAATTCTCATGAAGCTGATTCTTCATCGGCTACTACAACGACTGGTTCGTTCGAAGTAGTTATATTACCTTCTACAAAGATGATTAATACAAATTCAAATGTTTCCAAAAGTCAAAAAATTCATCCGGAATATGTTAAAAAGCAGAAGATTACAGAAAATATTTCATTTGCTGATATCAGTCGTCGATTAGCCATGCGAAAAAACTTATATAATCGACTGTATGAAAAATATCTGTTCATTATTTTATTATTTTCTTTTATATTCTAGTTGTTTTGTGACTGATATTATGTGTTTTCTTGGTATTTTGGGAATTATTCTTATGATTATTGAAAATGAAATACAATTTTCTGAAGTCAATTATAACGATACCATGTTGACTTGGTCTATCAAAATAGTTATTACCTTATCGACGATTGTTCTCATTGGATTTGCCGTCCAATATCATCATTTAGATATGTGTCTCTATGCGATTAATAATGGAATTGAAGATAGCCGTGTTACACTAACAAGACAGAGAATATATTTCATTGTACTTGAAATATTAATTTGTGCGATACATCCAATACCTCGCTCATTTCCTCCTCCTTTAAATGCATCATTAAAAGATCAAGATTCAAATTCATTCACAGCTACTTCTTCTTTAATGTATATAGATATCGATGTTGCGCTTGGTATACCAAGTAAGTATCAATCTTATGTATTTCTTCATCAAATTTAAAATCAATTTTTTTAAATAGTGTTTCTTCGTCTTTATTTGCTTGGTCGTTTTATTATGTATCATTCTCCTTTATTTCTTGATGCATCATACAGATCTATTGGTTATCTTAATAAAGTATCAATTGATTATTTCTTTCTCATTAAAACTTATCTTCAAAAAGATCCGATTCGTTATTTCATATTATTTTGTATCAGTATCTTGCTTATTGGAAGTTGGTGTTTACGTGCATGCAGTTATTTACCAACACATGAGCATATATCAATGCTCAATTCAATGTGGTTATTCGTTATAACATTTACTACTGTTGGTTATGGAGATTTCACACCTACTACATACTGTGGACGAGGTAAATAAACTAATAATTCATAAAAAAGAGAGTCTCTTCAATATTTCTCCATAAATAAAATTTTCATTTGTTTTGTTTAACTATTATTAGCTATTTCTGCTATGACGAGTTTGGTTGGTGTCTTTTCCACTGCTGTTATTATTGCTGTTCTTGCACAAAAACTTCTGTTGAATCGATGGGAAAAGTATGTGCATAATTTTGTATTGAATATTCAGTTATCGAAAGAACAAAAAATGCATGCAGCCAATGTTGTTAAATTTGCATTAAAAGTTTGGTGTATGAGACATAAAAATGCATCTGGATCATCTATTCAATATATTCGAGCACAACGGCAATTGTTTCAGTCAATACGTTCACTTCATCGAGTTAAACAACAACAAGCAAAATTAGTGGACAGGTGTATTGATCATATTGATCTACTTGCTATTCAGCGTAACACAAGTGTTCAAACATATGAAAGTGCCGATCAATTGAAGATGATGAAAGTTAAAGTGAATAACATAGAAGAAAAACTTATTGAGATGAACACAAATATGAATAATACAATAAACGATATACACAAAAAATTGGATATGTTGTTGGATAAGGATTCAAAATAAAATATTGGTTATATTTTTTATTGCCTTTTTCTTCTTAATGACAATACTAATACTTTATTTGTTCATAGTAATATAATCTTGTCTAAATTTATAATTATTTGATTTTTCTTATCAAATAATACAAAAATTCATTTAAAATATAAACTAGTGTGACCAATAGAGTTTGATGAACTCTGGTTAAAGACACGAATTCGAGTATTATCTCCTTCATAGAGCTGGATCAGCACCAAAGAATTTTTCACTTTGTATTATTTCGAGCTAGAGAAGAGATTTAAACACATTCGATTCCTCATCAGTAATGTAGAAATCGTTAATTCGTTACGAGTTTTAAATTATTCAACTTTTAGATACTTATGATTCGAATATTTGAGTTTTCAACTATCCGGTAGCATCAGCATACAGTACAATGTTGTGCGTGTTTTGACACGCGCTTGTGTTCCATAGCATCCGCATTTCTTGCTGTAAGGTAAAAAAGTGAGTTCAAAATTCTTGAATTCACCATCTCGATTTTACCAATCAGCTGTGCGCCTGCTCAAAGCATGCTCATCTCAATTCCTCAGTATTCAAAAAGATACCGCAAGTGTTAAGTATAGGCTTTCCAAGGATTCTCCGGACACTCTTAACTATATGATGAAAGATCTCCAATATATTGTATCTCTCGGCATTCTTCATGTAGCATCAGAAGAGATCCTCTCAAGGATTATTAGCTGATATCCAGGGAGTCATAGGAGATATCAAGCGAATCGTTATTCAATCTACAAATGATCATAAGGGTATCTTCATGATATTTGCGGGGATCTCTAAGAGATCTATAGGCGATCAATAAGGCCTCTAGAGGATCTCAGGTAATCTTCAACGTTCCTAAGGGCATATTCAGCGGATGTTTAGGAGGCATTGCATGTAAGTCACGACCATTTATGATAGACCTTGCTCAATCGATTTTACCAATTTGGCTCATATTTTTACAGTAGCTAGGCCTAACACACCTAGGAATAAATCGAAAGTTTCAGCTCAAAATTCAAACTTTGAGTTTTTTTTGAATTATCAATGGAAAATTGCCGTACTCCTTCCTTCTCAGGACCATGAAAAAAATTCAAAGTTCGAATTTTAAGCTGAAACTTTGTGCATGTTAAGCATTCGTTGAGAATAATTTATGGTGAAAATTTCAGATCTTTTGGTATTATTTTAGCTGAGATATTGATATGAGAAAAATTAGACATGCGCCATACGCTATACTATGATATTTTACGAAAATGACTCATTCACCATTTTTCACAGACTAATTCAAATGAGCTGAAATTTTTAGGTTAGAAGTTTTTCGACATGGACTTTCACCTGAAGCACTTAAATCAATCGTTTTGAAATAAGTGACCAATCTTAAAAATGGGAGTCAGGTTCCGATTTTGATCGTTCGAGTCTTGTTTAAAAAAAATTTTGCTACCAAAGTTCAAAATGCCAAACTTTAGAAAACGTCACTCGATGCATTTTGATGTGCTCTTTTAAATAAGACCACTCTTGGTCTATTCTATCACACTGATCCGACCAATCGTTAAATCTATGTGAGAATGTTTTCTAAAAATGCTCTATGATACCAAATAAAAATCCTTCTAAAATATGACAATTTTAATAGCATAAAAATGTAGCTCATCATTAATAGTATTTATTGTAAAAATATCTCGTCTATATCTTTTGTTGTTTTCGACAAAATGAAAATTTACTGAAAAATATTGCAATTAAAATTACTAAAAGCAAGGCCTACCCCCTCCTACTTGCGAGGTCTATATCACGTGAATACGTTATCCGTTTGAGCTGAAACTTTCGATTTATTCCTAGGTGTGTTAGGCCTAGCTACTGTAAAAATATGAGCCAAATTGGTGAAGTCGATTGAGCAAGGGTGGTCGTGGCTTACGTGCAATGCCTCTTAGGGATCCTTATGGGATGTTGAGAGTATCCTTGGGTGATTTACAGTGTGTTTTTTCAGAGACCGTTGGATGTCATGTAACACATTTCTGAAGAACACCTTAGGATCCCATCCAGATCCAATCAAGATCTTCTGGAGGTTTCCTTTAGAGTCTATGAGGATCTCTCAAAGAACTGGTATTATGTAATAGTTGAAAACTCAAAGAAGTTTAAGACTAGTAACAACTCTTCAATTTTTACATATATCAGGTTGTTAACGTCTGAAATATTCCTTCAATGATTTTTGAATACTTCGACTCTTGTTGAAGAAAGTTTTCATATTATTTTCCAGTTTTGTCTTTAATAGATCTTGTGTTTTGTAATCGGTACTGGTACTTTCATTGGAACGGCTTTGTCTGCTGCACTGTTTACTACGGTAGCTGTTATTCCTTATTGAGATGATCTATTCATTTATTCGAGCATCTCTGATAGAACTTATTATAGAACAGAAGAAAATGTTTGCAGGTGTACTATGATATTTGAGTTACTGTCAAACTGCAACATCCTCATGTTTTTTGTTCAAATGCACTGAATAACCGATCTTACTGATGCAAAATGGCAATAAATCTACGAAGAAAAAATAACCACTGATCGCTTCGAACAACAAGTGTTCAGACGTCCGAGAAAAAAAATTCTTACTATTCGGATGTTCATTCCTGGTATTGCGGTTCGATTTAGTCAGTTTACTAATGAAAATTTTTCTTTTTGTCTTATGAATCAAGAGCATGTGCTGCAATATGTGAAGAAAAGTCACGATAATAAACCAATGATAATCTGAACAATTCTATTATACGCTTTGTTCATATATCTATATCGTATTCTTAATATCTTTTTCAATCAGAAACCAAAGCTAACTTTATTATTATATATAAAAAAGATAGATGATATTTATTCAGATACTTCAAACGATATTTTGTTGTTAATCATTATAAATTTGACATTTTACGAACGTATATCTTTTATTAATGTTAATAAAAAAGGACAAATGTGGTGGATCTGATTTTTCAGATATTCTTGCTCAAGATCATTTCTATAATGCAGCTCATTTTTTACCTTCATACGAGAAGAAAGTTTCATTGTAAAAAAAAAAGGTTTGTTCATATGAAAGAACTTAGAAAATCAATTGAATCTCTCTTTCCTTGAAGTTCTCATAGATTTAACTCATTTTATTCAATTTATCGTTGGATATATATATGTACAATAAAATTTTCTTGAGTCAATTATAATAGTTATGCAACTTTTGCTATAAAAAAAAAAGATTACTAGATGAAACATTGATTTATATGAAAACAGAGTTATTTGATATGGACTGTAATAAAATAATCCACAGCGATTCGTCGATTGAATTCTCTCAGAGGAAGATATTATAAAGAATTGTGTCTGGTACTACAGTTGTTGGTTTTGATGATTGTATTGACCCTATTGGTAAGATAATAGTCAATACTCTTCGAGCAAGTGTAGACATTGATCATCACTGCAACAAAGCTTCCAATAAAAAAAAATTAATCTTACTGATCGCGATAAGAAGATTTATTTAGTTTTGATGAACCTTTAGAATAAACTTGAATGTCATCGACAGACTAAATATTAATAATAAGAAAATTATTCTGAATAATTTCTAATCAATGATTATATGTTGTAAGAAATGATTGGCGTCATTAGTTGCATTGAGTAAAAGCTATAGCAATGTCAAGATATCAACAGAAACATATAATCTTTTGCAAATAATCTCCCTTCGTTTCTTTTTAGGTTTTCACTCTTATTTACATAAAAACTATGAGGCATTATGATCAAGACACCATTCGAAAGTCTATACGAATATTCAACAAGACAACTAGATATACATTGAATCTAAAAAAAACCATGTGCATGACTACAATGAGTTTGACAATTAATTTGTTTTCCAAAATAATAAAAAAAGCAAATTAACCCTTGTATGTGAAAATTTCAACTTGCGTCCAAAACAACCCTTTTTTTTTGACCGATTCTAATCAGATTCGTTTGACATAGGAAAAAACAATTCTACGAATTTTTTTGTTAATACCAAAAGTTTTTGATGAATCTGTGTTACGAATATGAATTGTAAATATAAGAAGATAAGAAGCAACCATGTGTCTTGTATATGCTCTCTCGTTTTTACAGGTAAGGCGTACTTGTGTGCAGGATGTATTATTGTATGTTAATCTCTCTTTTCAATCAACTGCGCTCTATGAAGTATGATTGACATCATTTTTTTTTCTTATTTATATTGATGTATAAAAGTGTGAAAAGGTATGCATTTACAAATGAAATAAGTAACTAATGATTTTTTTCCAAGTAACTAAATATAATTAATATAAATAAAAGTATCGTAATTATCGACAAATAATAACTGTAATAAAAAAAAGACAAATTTGACTGGATTTCTTTCGATTTGTGTTAACATTATTGTACAAAATTGTTGAGGTGAATTTTTGTGAAATAAAATCTAGAATAACGATTGAAAATTTATGAGACGAAAGATTTTAATTCTCTTTCAATAAAATATTTTGATTTCAGTCTTCAAAGATGTGTTTATTTATTGCAGATAAATATTAGATGGTCTCTATCAAGAATACTTGTGTACAATTGAATAATTTCAGTAACGTTGACTCATCATCAATTATTCTACAGAACGAATCGCCGAATATTGTTCTATCACTTTCTACAACGATCACTAATATGGATTCCAATGTATCTGACGACAAAAAAGTTCTTCCTAAAACTTTGAACAAACAAAAGAGTGTAGCAAATATATCACTTTCTAAACTCAGTCATCGATTAACAATGAGAAAAAAATTACATAAACGACTGTATGATATATGTATACTTGTTGTTTTATTATTTTCTTTTATATTCTAGTACTTTGGTGACCGATATTATGTGTTTTCTTGGTATTTTGGGAATTATTTTAATGATTATTAAAAATGAATTGATATTTTCCCAAATCCACAATAATGATACTATAGTCAGTTGGTCTATCAAAGTAGTTATAAGTGTTTCAACTGTTGTTCTTATTGGGTTTATCATTGAATATCATCGCTTAGACATCTCTCTCTATGCTCTTAATAATTCAATTGAAAATCGTCTTGTTACACTAACAAAAACAAAAATATTGTTAATTGTAGTTGAAATATTAATTTGTGCTATACATCCAATGCCTCGAGTTTTTCCTCATTATTCAAATGAATCACCAAAAAATACAAGCTCAGACGGGTCGACATCTACTACTTATTCTGTGTCTTATATATATATTGATGTTGTGCTTGGCTTACCAAGTAAGTATCAATCTTATGTTTTTCTTCATTAAATTAAAAAAAAAAAGTACTTTAATAGTGTTTCTTCGTCTTTATTTGCTTTGTCGTTTCATTCTGTATCATTCTCATCTATTTCTTGATGCATCATCACGATCTATTGGTTATCTTAATAGAATTTCGATTGATTACTTCTTTCTCATTAAAGCTTATCTGGAACAATGGCCAATTTTTTGTTTATCAATATTTTGTATATTTATATTTCTTATTGGAAGTTGGTCTTTACGTGCATGTGATTATACATCAAGCAATGAACATTTAACAATGCAAGATTCCATGTGGTTATTCATTGAAACATTTACTACTGTAGGGTATGGAGATATCTTTCCTTCTACACATTGTGGACGAAGTAAATAAAATAATAATTCATGAAGAAAAAAATCTTTTAAATTTTCATTGTTTTTAATCGTTATTAGCTGTTGCTGCTATGGCTAGTTTGGTTGGTATCCTTACAACCGCTGTTTTCATTACTGTTCTTACACAGAAACTTCTGATGAATCGATGGGAAAAATATGTGCATAATTTTGTACTGGATGTTGAATTGGCAAAAGAACGTAAAATTCAAGCAGCAAATGTTATTAAATTTGCATTTCTAGCTTGGTATATAAAAAAGAAAAATGTTTCTTCATCATCTTTTTTGTACCTTCAAGCACAAAGACGATCATTCCAGGCAATACGTTCGCTTCACCTAATTAAACGAAAACAAGGACAACTAGTCGACAGTTGTATTGATCAAATCGATCTAATTGCTACAGAACGTAACACAAATACTCAAATATCCGGCGTTACAGAGCAATTGCAGACAATGGAAGTTAAAATGTATAACGTAGAAGAGAAACTTGTTGAGATGAACATAAATATAAACAATATAATGAACGATATACAAAAAATATTAAGTATGTTAAATAAAGTTGCAAAATAATTTATTGATTATATATTTGCTTTGTTGCTCTTTATAACAATATTAATACTATTTTTTCATGTTAATGTGATTTTGTTCAACTTTTTAATTCTTTGGTTTTCCTTATCAAATAATACTAATATTCATTTTAGATGTCGAATTGAATGCATTAATTGATTCTCATAAAAACAAAGGATAGGGCTGCATAGAAACCATTTTAAGCCATTCTCTGTTTCCGTTCATTCGTAGTTTACGTAATCCAGAATTGTCTGAGGAATCATATCGTAACACAATAAAATGATTTCTCATGGAGTCGGATCCCTTTTTTTTGCTCAAATTATTGATATTTATGTTTGTACTTAAATGCACGATGCAAACATGGAAAAGTGGCTCATATAAGTTTTCCTATACTACGATATTTTCAACTGAAAGTTAACTCAAACGGCTACATGTTGCAGAATAATGACGTAAATATTTTTTCAAATGAGCATGAAAGTCATTTAATTATGTTACTTTTGTGTTCATTTTTGCTCATTGATTTTGTTAATATCTAGTGAAAGGAAGAAAACCATATCGGTTTTTTGATTGATTCTTAAATCTTGTACAAAATGCTACGCAAAAAATCTTTTCCCGACATTTTTAGAATTTGCTTTTGTTAAATAAAATGACTGGAATTTCGTTTAGACACAATTTTACTGCACTTTGTCAGTGATCTTTAACCAATTTCGATTGTAAGATGTAGGCTTTGAATGAAAACAAATAACATATTAGGAGTCAATCTAAAAAGTGAGTACACCGATGTTTTTCGACAAACATTGATTTCTCGAAAAAAAAATACATCTATGGTCCCTCTGATGGTTCAGTGAAATCAAAATGAATTTAATGAGAACACCATTTTTATTGTTTAATTATTTGATCTTTTGTATGCCTCTGACGAGTTACAGGTTCAGAACTTGTTTTCCACTGATTAAATGATATTCTGATAAAATTTATCCTTTTTTTTTGACCTGAGGGATACGTTTAGGAAATTTTTTCACGAAAAAAGATGAGTAGAAGTGAACGCAAATGGTAACATAGTTACTATATGATTTTCATGCTCATTTGAAAGAACTCACTGTATAGGAGAACTTATGCGAGTCATCCTTCCATGTATGCAGCACGGATTTATATACAAATATGAATATGAATAATATGAGCAAAAAACAAGATTTGAATCGGTCAGACACCGCCTTGTTTTGTTCCCAAACGAGTCCTCATGATATTCTTCATTAGGTAAATTACGAATGAAGGGAGTATGAGTAAGAACGAAAAATGGCCCTTTTGTGTCCTTGTTGGCTACTTCTTGATCTATTTTGTCATTTTATTAAAAAAACATAAAAATAAGCGTTATCATGGTAACGTAGCACTGGTCAAACATGTTTCTGTATTCTACGTTTATATTATTATCCTGCTCAGATGTTCCTGATGTGGACGCCTAATACATGTAATATCTACCCATGTGATTTAAATCGGGCAAATACTGCTCGTTCATCGACAATCGATTGGCGATAGTTTAATGCTTAAACGATCGGCTATCGCCTGAATGCCATTCAATTCCAGTATACTAATTGATATCCTACGACCGGTAATCTACTATCGATATACCATCGGTACGTATAAGTTAATTGGACAAGTGAATATTATTATTTCTTGAAAAATTCAAGCGACTTGATTGTGTTGTTTTTAATAATAACATGATAGGATGTATTCTTTGATGTTTTATTTAATATAATTTGATTGAGCAACAAAGATTTATAGTAATTCCTATGAGTTAAAAACCATTATGTCAATTATTTTAAACAATACCAGAAAAACACAATATGATTTTGGTTTTTCTTTATCAAATTATTTCTATTATCTGTTCTCATTCTAATCCTCTTCGGTCGGCTATCAGAAAGTCGACAGCAAAAATAAATATTTTTCTACATGCTTTACTTCCCCTCATCACATGAATAATAAAATTGTACTTTTCATAACAAAGAAGTATTTCGGTATGGAATGGCTTTATGCCGCTATTCGCCAATATCCGATTAATATGAGTCAACATTTTCGAGAAGAATGTGGGTGTAGTAGCTGCTGCTGGTACATCAAGAGAAGACACAGGCACGCCATTCTTCCATATGAGATTGAAAAATATGTTTTTTTTATGTATGATGATCCGAATGGGGGAAAGTGTCTTCTCCTAGATGAGAAGAAATCTTTTCATTCTCCACTGATAGATACAGGATCACGACAACACGACAAAATATCTTGATTTAACAGTTGCCCATGAAAAGCAATTTGAGAAACCTTTGTTCCTTTATAGCAAGGCGCTGCCCAGCTGCTACTTTCCTGTTTCTTATTGTTGAGATACACTGAATAGTCTATCTTACTGATGCAATATATAATGCATCTACGAAAGAAAACTAACCACTAATCATCTTGAATAATGAACATTGAAACGTACCAGAAAAAATTCTTATCGTTCTGATGCTCGTTTGGGACATTACGTGTGGATCCAAGCATTTTGTCAGTGAAAGAATTTTTTTGCCTTACGAATCATGAATGTGTACTCAAATGTGTTAAAGTAATTATTGGATTGTCAAAAAAAAAATGATATATCATCATTATAAGATAATCTTTCACGAAATTTTGTTTCAATGTTGCCAAATAGTAGCTTCCGACCGGTATTGGTTAAAGATATTTCAAGATTTCATGATTTTGTTTAAAAAAAAAGACTCAACCGATGAGTTAAACGAAGTAAAGTAAACTTTCCGATACGACTTTTGAAAAGTCAAGATTATAAAACAACAGTAATCTGAACAATTCTATTGTACGTTTTTTCCATGTTTGTAAATTGGAGTTCTCATATCTTTTCCAATCATGAGCCAAAGCTAACATGATTATGTGTACAGAAGCATGATGATGTTTATCATATGATGTATATTTATATTTAATCAGTAACTTCAGACGATATTTTGTTTTCAACCGTCACAAATTTGAGATTCTATGAACATGTATATTGTAACAATGTTAATAGAAAAAGACCCATGTAATGGATCTTGTTTTTCAGATATTCTTGCTCAAGATCATTTGTATGATGAACTTCATTTTTTACCTTTATACAACAAAAAATTTCATTGTGAAAAAAAGAAGATTTTTTCAAGTGAAAGAACTTCGAAATTCAATTGAATTTCTTTTTGCTTGAAGTTTACATAGATTCAATTCATCGTTGGATATATATACAGTACAATTTTTTTGAGTCATTGAAACAGTTCTACGACTTTTTCTATAGAAAAAGACGACTAGATGAAACATTGATTTATGTACAATTCTACTAGGCAACTGATAAAGTTATTTATTAGTTATGGTTTTGAAATTTAATAATAAATGACATAGAAACCGATTTATTGTATATGGAGTGTAATACAATTATTTACAGTGATTGGTTGATTGAATTCTCAAAGAAAGATACTTTGGGCAATCTAAAAGTAGTGACGGAAGTACTTTATTTTCCAATAGAAAGCGAAAGCTTGAAGAAATTTTCGTTCTTGATGTACAGATAGAGAAAACGATGTTCTGTTTTTCTGTGTAAAACTTGACTATAAGATAAGGTCATACTATCATCCATGTGTATTCTCTTTTTGTTTTTTCTTTGTTCTCTTTTCTTTAATCTTTCTTTTCTTATTTCTTCTATTGAGTAACCATCCATACATATTAGAGTATACGAAAGGTAATGATGATAGAACAGAAAAGAAATACAACAACAAGCTCAAGAAGTTTTCTTTTCATCAAATACTCAGAATAATCACCTTGATTATTCACACTCACAACTGCATTACTTGAATTCATTGATCGAAGGTTTTTCTCTACTCTTTTTTATTCAAAGAGTACATGAGCGATGGATGTGGTATTATTGTGATGCCGTCCGATTCATGATAATTGAACATATCTTTATGAATATCTGGTCTTCCATTATCATGATGAAGTTTAATACTACAGGTGCCAAATGAGGATCTTTGATGTTTGATTTTGTCGATGAGAGACTACAAACAATTGTTGATTTAATACTGATGATCAAAATTTTATTTTCATTCCATATGATGAATTAGAATAGGACTAGCTGACTTCAAATAAAGATGGAAAATAAGATTCTTGAAGCAAACTAATCGTGTCGAACCACAGTAGATGAAGAGTCTCCTTTAGCCATCCATGCAGCATTTTATGACTTTCAATCAATCTATTTATGAAAAAATCACGACTCATCACATTACGTAAGCGTTAGGTTTCTTGTTCAAGCTTTTGCAAAATTTTCTTTCCATATTGGAAGATGAACCTGTTCAATAGTTTCAGATGTTGCTACAGCAAAAAATCTCTGACAGGTAGAGTATATCGGATCCAGATAGAAAGAGAACTTTGATGCGCATAATAATATTTTTTGAATTTCTTTAAATTTTTATTCGATTTATTCAAAAAAATCTTTCAGTTATTTATGAGAAAACCGGAAAAAAATAAAACTCTCTTTTAGTATAATATCTAAACTTACAAGGTGTTCGAACTGTTTCATTCCACGAACAAATTGCACCTTGTACGATGTCAATGGCAGGTATTCGATTCGCTATTGTTTGTGAAAGGAAGCACATCTTTGTGACATTTCTAGTACTTGATTGTGATCCATTTCTCATACATACGAAGAACTTCGTCGAGTTTTTCTTCTGTAGCTTTCGACTACCTTTTAGAACGTTCTCGATCTTCCACTGTATCAGTTTTACGACAGCATTCAAATGTACCTTTAATGCAATCTTCATTTTGTGTATTTCTATTGAATTCGACTTGCAGTTGTCGTTTCACAATCACCGGTGGCTTAAATTCGGTTATTTATTAACCTATTTTTATTCTAATGTTTATAGGCACAGATATTTACCTGAAAATATGCAGAATGAAACTTTAAAGAAAACACTTATATATTATCAAATAATGAATTTAATCTCATGAGTTGTATAAGAGAGAGTTATGTTAACTTTCTCGATGCACTTTTAGGAAATCCTGTATTAACCGAATGGGTCTCGATCGGATTCAACAAACTTTAGCTTGTCAAGTTCGGATCTGGCTCCAACGATTTTAATCAATCGAGTCAGAATCCAGAAATTCTAGAACTCAAGGGACTCTAATGCCAATTTGTGCTTCATCTTCAACTTCTTCTCGACCTTCATAAATCCATTTAAACCATCTTACAACTGTTCTAAGAGAAGGAGCCTGATCACAGTGAATAGAACATAATTCATCATGAATAACTGTTGCCTAAATGTTAAGTGCAGTACGCACTTTAATATTGAAGTAAAAGTGTCCTGTATTCAACCGAAACACATGAATAGTGTTAGTTTGACCTAACTTAATTTTTTTCTGACTTTTTTGAAAATGCACAAATAAACTGTGCATACGCACAACACAAATATCTTAATATAAAGGGTGCTCACAAAGTTTTTAACCGCTTAATCAATAAATTTATTGATTAAAGAGTTAAAAACTTAGTGAACACTCTTTATATGTATCTATAGACGACTATGCATTAGACGAAATGAGAAAAAAATAAGTGAAGAACAAAGAAAAAACAAAAAGAGAATACATGTGCATGATAACATCACCTGACGTTATAGTCAAGTTTTATAAAATAAACAGTTCTTATCGAAATTATATACATATGGTGTGTATAATCTGAAGATTAGACTGTTTTTTTTTATTTAATTTCAAGACGATAGAAATTTAAAAAAAACAATAATACCAACATTCTTGCGAACCTTCCTTTCTCCATCATTACATGCCAAGTCAATAAATGATTGCTTACTGATACACAGATATAGTCTATGGAACATGAGATGTGTCGTCAACTGAAGTTATTCATTATAAATATTGAAACCAAAAACTTGCTATTAAATATGGAACAAATTTAAATCTGCCTCTTCTTGTTAAGGCTATGCTTTTTCTAATGTCCTTGTCTGTGACCTAGTAAACAAAAGTATTAAGTCTTTCTATTTTAACAAGATTGCTAACACTCATATTTCTGTAACGCTACAAGTATATCATATCAAAATTAAAACACGTTGTTACCAGAAAAAAATAAGAATATTTGGGTTTAAACCATGAATTATTTGTTGATAATAATTGATATCCAAAAATGGATTAAAATGTATCAGATCATTAATTTCTGCGTAGTAGATGCGTTCAAACCTGTTTATATAAGAGCCAACCCGTTTTAATGCGTTCAGACTTCGGTTGATATCATTTTTTTGGGGTGGGGTCTAGGTGAATCCAGCCATATTATCAGTGTAAGGTTTTTTTTTTTTGTCTGATCAATCATGAATGTGTGCTGAAGAAATTATCGAATTGTCAAAAAATTATAACGAAATATTGAATCAATGTTGTCAAACAGTAACATCTAATGGGAAACAGTTGAATATATTTCAACATTGAGTGTGTTTGTTGTACAAAAAAAATATACATTGGATAGATTCGATGAAGTAAAATAAACTTTTAAATACATCTTTTGAAAAGATTCATATGTGAAAAGTCACAACTATTAAAAACAACAGTAATCTGAACAATTCTATTGTACTCCTTTCTCATGTATATAAATCGTATTCCTGAAATCTTTGTCAATTAGAAATCAATCTAAATTTATTATGTATGCAAAACTAAACAATGGTTATCGTATGATGTGGATTTATTTTTAATCAGAGAATTCAAACGATATTTTATTGTTGACCATCACAGACTTGAGATTCTACGAACATGTATATTTTTTCTTGATGTTGAAGAAAAAGACAAATGTGATATAAGTTATTCTTCAAATATTTTTGCACAAGGTCATTTCTACGACGCAGCTCAATTTTAATTTTTATACGAGAAAAAATTTCATGTAAAAAAAAAAAGAGAGTTTGTTGAAGTGAAAGAACTTTGAAGCTCGATTAAATTTCTCTTTGCTTGAAGTTTACAAAGATTCAACTAATTTTTTTGAATTGATGGTTGGATATGTATATAATACAATTTTGCTGAGTCAATAGAACACTTGTGCAACTTTTGCAATACGAAAAACTGACTCGATGAAACATTGATTTGCATGGAACTTCATCAGTGAACTAATAAAGTTATTTATTAGTTAAAGTTTTGAAAATTAATAAAAATGACATGAAAACTGAGTTATTTTATATAGATTGTAATAAAGTAATTCACATTGACTGGTCGATTGAGTTTTCAAAGAAAGATATTATAAATATTCATATATGATCATAATGACCAAATTGGTAAAGTAATAGTCAATACTCTTCAAACAAATCTGAACATTAATCATTAGTGCTGTAATATTTTGCATGAAAAACTTAATTTTACTTATCATGATATGAAGATTCATTTATTTTTCATGATTTATCGATAGATATATTTATTATTCGGATGACCTTGAAAATATACTTGTATGTCATTGACAGACTAAGCAATAATAATAAGAAAATTATTCTGAATAATTCTATATCAGTGACTATATGTTGCGAAAAATTATCGGCATTGATAGTTGCATTGAGCAATCATTCGATTAAAGGTTATATAATGTCTTTGAGATCAACAGAAAAATATAAACTTTCGCCAATTTCTTCTTTCCTTTCTTTTCATAGTTTTAATCTAATTTATCTAATAACTATGAGACGTTATGAACAAGATACAATTCGAAAGTATACGTATACCTTTGACATGACTACTTGATATATTTTAAATTTAAAAGAAATCATGTATACCATTGAAATGAATCTGAAAATAGATTTGTTTTTCAAATTAATCAGAAAAAAAACAAATTAACGCTCGTATATAAAAATGGAAACTTATGTGAAAAAGAACGAAATTTGTTTTTGACAAATGCTACTCAAATTCATTCGACACAAGAATAGTAACTATACGAACTTTCTCTTAATGCATAGCGTTCAATAATTATAGATTTCATAAAAAATGTTTGGTCAGTTTACTTAACGAATGAAACTTCGTCAACGATAAAATTTTAAGGCTGATCTGGTTTATCAACGTGAAGATTAGAACATATAAACAAGCAGCATAGTTTTATTTTGCTTTGTGTATTTTGACATGTAAGACGCATATCAAGACACAACCTATCATTGCTTGTTAATCTCTTTTTGCAATTATCTATATTATATCATGAGTGATTTAAATTCGTTTTCTCATTTCTATTGATGTTGTGTTGGCTTCTCTTATATTGATGAATAAAAGTGCAAAAAGGTAAATAAACACTGATTTTATCTGCATAGACACATATAATGAATGCAAACAAAAGTATTGTTATTACCTGTAGCAAATCATTGTGATAAACAAAACAAAAATTTGATCAAGTTTCTTCCGATGCACTTAAACATTATTATACTAAACTTCTGCCATGACTTTATGTGAAACACAATATAGACTAGTTGTAAGAAACTTACGAGATGAAAAATGTTAATTCTATTTCAATAGAATATTTTGATAATACAAAAAAAGAATAGAAACATAAAAATACTTCTGTGAGGCATCTTTACTAGATATTTTTATTTTCTCTTTAAATTTGTTCAATTTTATGTAAAAAACGATTACAAAATATTTATCTAATAAAGTAACAACTTTTTTATTATCTACTATAGTTTAAATAAATGTATTTATTTATTTCAGATAAATATAAAATGGAGGCTATGAACGATACTGATATACAATTGGATACTATCACTAATGCCGACACTTCATCACTTATTCAAGAAAGTAATCCTATGAAAACAGTTGAATTGCCTTCTACAACGATCATTACTATGGATCCAAATGTTTCCGACAACAAAGAAAATCTTTCTAAAACTGTTAACAAAAAAAAGAGTGTCGCAAATATATCATTTTCTGAGCTCAGTCGTCGACTCACAATGAGAAAAAAATTACATAAAAAACTGTAGGGCATATGCATGTTTACTGTTTTATTATTTTCTTTTATATTCTAGTACTTTGGTGACTGATATTATGTGTTTTCTTGGTATGTTGGGAATTATTCTTATGATTATTGAAAATGAAATAACATTTGCCCATATCGGTAATCCCGAAACCGTAGTGAGTTGGTCTATCAAAATAGTTATTAGTCTTTCAACAGTTGTTCTTATTGGATGTATCATCGAATATCACCGTTTAGATATATATCTCTATGCTGTTAATAATTCAATTGAAAATCATCGTGTTGCAATAACGTACACGAGAATATGCTTGATTGTAATTGAAATATTAATTTGTGCTATACATCCAATGCCTCGCGCTTATCCGTATCATTCAAATGAATCATCAGAAAATACAAGCTCAGATGGATCCACACGTATAACTGATTCTTTGTATTATGCATCTGTTGATGTAGCACTTGGTTTACCAAGTAAGTATCAGTGCTTTACTTTTCTTCATCAAATTTAAAACTAAGTATTTTAATAGTGTTTGCCCGTCTTTATTTGCTTTGGCGTTTTATCATGTTTCATTCTAATCTGTTTCGGGATGCATCATCACGATCAGTTGGTTTTCTTAATAAAGTATCAATTGATTACTACTTTCTTATTAAAGCTTATCTTGAACAATGGCCAATGTTTTGTTTAACAATATTTTGTATACTTGTCTTCCTTATTGGAAGTTGGTCTTTACGTGCATGTGACTACACAGGAACCGATGAACATTTTACAATGCAAAATGCAATGTGGTTATTCATTATAACATTTACTACTGTTGGTTATGGAGATTTCACACCTTCTACATTTTGTGGACGAAGTAAATAAAATATTATTTATGATAGAAAAATCTCTTTAATTCTCATGTATTAATAAAACTTTTTCTTTTCTTTTTCATCATTATTTAGCTATTGCTGCTATGATTGGTTTGGTTGGTGTCCTTTCAACTGCTCTTCTTATCAGTGTTCTCACACAAAAACTTCAAATGAATCGATGGGAAAAATATGTGCATAATTTTGTATTGAATATTGAATTGGCAAAAGAGCGTAAAATACAAGCAGCTAATGTTATTAAATGTGCATGTAGACTTTGGTTTATAAGAAGGAAAAATACGCCTGTATCATCTACTCGATTTGTTCGAGTACAACGAGAACTATTTCACTCAATACATTCACTTCACGAAATTAAACAACGACAAGGAGAACTAGTCGACAATTGTACTGATCAAATTGATCTACTCGCTGTTCAACGTAACAATAATTCTCAAACATGTGAGATTGCAGAGCAGTTGCAGACAATGAAAGTTAAAATGGATAGTATGGACGAGAGACTTGTTGAAATGAACAGAAATATAAACAATACAATAGCCGATATGCAAGAAACACTGTGTTTGTTATTGAAGAAAGTTTCAAAATAATGTATTGATTATATATTTTATTTTTTGTTCTTTTTTCTAACAATGCTAATATTCTATTTATTCATATTAATATGATCTTGTTCAAATTTTATAATTCTGTGATTTTTCTTATCAATAATATTAGTATTTATTTAAAGTATAAACTTGAATGTATTTATTAACTTTCACAAATTATTTTAGAACGAAATTATTTTGTCTAATTCTTGAATCTTTTGTAAAATTCAATAATTTGCTAGCGAAACAGGATGATACCCTTACATTGTAAGGTTATATTTGGAAACGTTGGCAGGTTAACTATACATGTATTGTTGAGCGCTATTATCAGTTTTTTATAGTTATTAAAATAGCCGTATAATAGAAAGATCGCATATTTCTTTCCAACGTGATGCATCGTAGTAAGCAGCTCGCTTCTTTTTTCGCGTGAAATATTTTTAATTATGATCAATTATAGGACGTTGATAAGGCATCTCAATGACTATAATAATATGTATACAACATTGATAAATTTTTAGTTGTAAAGTGCACAACTAGATATGATATAATCCAGGAACACGGAATAGCAATGAGCATTAAAGTAAAATAATCATCTGAAAATGAAAAAATCTTTTTGGAAAAATATTCGTTTTCAATCGAAATATTTTCCATAGTGAGTATACTACTTACTAGATCACTATGTTAAACTTAAGGTCAACATATGCTTTCAGCAAGAAATAATTTGTTTGCTTTTCGATGAAGATATATCGTTCTAGTATAGATTCTTTATGAAATGAATTTGTTATTTGTGTTTAGTGACACTGAAATTTTTTCAATACAGAAAATTTTCTATCTAGTAGTTTTTTCTTTGTTGTACCTATTTCAAAAAGAATTTGACTAAAAACGGAATTCTAAAAGATCAACTGGAATATTACAAAAACGGATCAATTTTATTTTTAATATCCTATACATAAAAAAATTCATTGAACAAATTAAATGAGGTAAAATAAACTTTTAAATGCGTCTTTTAAAAAGATTCATATGTGAAAAGTCACAACTATTAAAAACAACAGTAATCTGAACAATTCTATTGTACTTCTTTCTCATGTTTATAAATCGTATTCGTCAAATCTTTGTCAATTAGAAACCAATCTAAATTTTATTGTTGACCATCACAAATCTGAGATTCTACGAACATGTATATTTTTTCTTGATATTGAAGAAAAAGACAAATGTGATATAAGTTGTTCTTCAAAAATTTTTGCTCAAGATCATTTCTACGACGCAGCTCATTTTTTATTTTTATAGAAGAAAAAATTTCATAGAAAAAAAAAAAAAGAAAGTTTGTTGAAATGAATAAACTTTGAAACTCGATTAAATTTCTCTTTGCTTGAAGTTTATAAAGGTGCAACTAACTTTGTTGAATTCATTATTCGATATATATGAGCTGTTTCATTCGTTAGGGACGTGCCTTTGCAAAATTAAAATATGTATATCTTAGAGTAATGAGCTCTCCTAGAACAAATTTTATATGCTATACGTATGTTGAATTACTGTCAATATCTTGAACAAATCAGCGCTAGAGAGTTTTTCTCAGAAGAGTTTTCAGCAAAAAACGAACGTTAGAGATATTGCACGAAAAAGGAAATCAATTTTCAATATCATGTATTTTAGTTTCAAAAAAAAAATCTGAATTGAGGCAGTATTTTAGAAAAGCAGGCGACATTCTTACATAGGTCTATGCTAAAATAATTTATTGTAAAAAAGAATCCTTGAAGAGAATCACAGTCACACGAAGGGCGGGGGGAGATGTCACGTTTTCGTAAACCTTGTTGAGTTGGCAGAATACTTGTGCGATTTTGGCTTTAAGAAAGAAAATGGGAGGTGCATAGTTTCCAATTACTTATGATAGAAATGAGCTAGAGAGCTGCGGTTTTCACAATTAGAAAGAAGAAATGCAGGTGCATCGAACTGTATAATAACATAAGATAATCTAACCTAGTTTTATCAAGGACTTAAACTGATGTTTTTGAAAATCAATGTACTCCATAAGGTGATTACATTGAGTTTTTTATCACCAGGTGTGCATTCGAACCATTAGTCGAAGATCTACGAAACTTTGCAAAGCCCAGATGTTGAGGTCTACTCCTTCCGGAGTTATAGGTATTCTAATTGAAATTTCGAGCAGCTTTTTCTATTAATTTCTCTGAAAAAAAATGAAGTTTTTTGCTCTTTTCTTATTTTATGAGAAACCCATTCTTACGGCACTTTTTTTAGAAAACTCTACAAAACATCATAGAAAAAAATTATAATACATGATTCGATATGTCTTCATCTCTTCTTTTCAATGACGAAAATCGCAGCTCTCTAACTCGTTTCTGTCAAAAGTTATTCGAAAAGTACCCACCGATCTTGTTTTTTTTTAAATGATCAGTAGTTACCATTTTGAAAATTAATAAAAATAACATGAAAACACAGATATTTTATATGGACTGTAATGATGCAGTAATTCAGTGACTCGTCGATTGAATTTTCAAACAAAGATATTATAAAGAATTTTACCTTGTGATACAGTTGCTCGTATTTATGATTATAATGACCATATTGATAAGATAATAGTCAATACTCTTCAAGCAATTGTGAACAGTGATCATTACTACTGCAATGCTTTGGATGAAAACTTCGGTCTTACTAATCCTCATATGAAAATTTATTTATTTTTGATGACTTATCGATGGATCTATTTTGTACTCGGATGACCTTGACAATGAACTTGAATATCATTCACAGACTAAGTATTAATAATAAGAAAAATATTTCGAATAAGTTTAACTCAATGATAAAATGTTGCGAGAAATTATCGGCATCAGTCGTCACATCGAACAATTATTCGATTAAAGGTTCTAGAATGCCTAGAGATCAACAGATAGATATAATATTTCGTCAATTTCTCCTTTCCTTTCTTTTCACATTTTCATTCTACTTTAATGAATAACTATGAAACGCTATGATCAGATCACAATTCGAAAGTATACACATACATTTAACATGATAACTCAATATATTTTAAGTGTAAGATATGTTATATATGCTATTGAAAATAAAGAAATAAAGAATTCTTGTACGTGAGATTTTTGCGATTTCGAAAATGTATTTTGATTGGTAACATGCCAGTTGAAGTCAATAAATATAGAACCTGGGAAAAAGGAAGGAGTGAAGGTTCTTCTTCTGTAAGCTTTTTTCAATGTTAGAAACTCGCCTTCTTTTATTGTATTGGACTTGTTCTTTTCGAAAAAAGCTGAAATCAAAGACCGTCACAGGACACTTTTTTCCACTCTGTTCTAGTATAGGAATGCACCAGTTTCAGTAACCAAGTGGCTCAGCAGAATTTGATTTTTCCCTCAATTAAAAGAGTCATATGAAATAAAAGAAGTTTGTATGTTTTTTGGCACGTGTAAAATCACATATACACATATTTGTAAGGATTTAGAGCAGATTTTTTATATGAAGGTGTTTTTAATGCTGGAAGTCCATCCAGGAGTGTTGGTGTGACAAGATTAGGTCCAATAAGTGGTTCTTTTTTTTAAGGAAAACTGGGTCTAGTAACCACTTTTTTTCTTGACAGCTGAAAAAATACTGAATAAAATTGCTACATTACCATTATCAGTACACTGAATGCATTTAAAAAGAACTTGTCACTGGGCACAGCTCTCAAAAGAAAAAATTAGATACTGCAACTAGTTTTCAGAAAAGGAACCAACAACTGAAATCAGTTCTCAAAAAGTGACTGATTCATAGAAGTTTGAGCTATCACAAGTCTACACTTGACAATGACATCCACACCAACACACATCGAAGTCAACTCGTACATCCCCAATGCATCTCGCAACACCAACAATCATATCCATTCCATACTTACATCCAAGCTTGATTGGGCGAGAGTTAGATACCAAATACATCTGCCCTCATTTCAAAAAGCTGTTCTAAACCCTCACAAATATGTGTATATGTGACTTTACACGTGCCAACAAACATACAAATTTCTTTTATTTCATATGACTCTTTTAATCGAGAGAAAAATCAAATTCAGCTGAGCCACCTGGTTACTAAAACTGGTGCAGTCCTATACTAGGACAGAGTGAAAAAAAGTGTTCTGTGATGGTCTTTGATTTCAGTCTTTTTCGAAAAGAAAAAGTTAAATAGAATAAAAAAAAAAGCGAGTTCCTAACATTGAAAAAGCTTAGAGTAGAAGAATCTCCATCCTTTCCTTTTTCTTAACTTCTGTATTTAATTACTTCAGGTAGCATGTTACCAATCAAAATAAATTTTCGAAATCGCAAAAATATCACGTACAAGAATCCTTTGTTCCTTTATTTTCTCGTTATTTTGCAAAGGTAAATAACCTATTTGTCATTAAACTTTATTATAAAGAAGCAGTGAAGATAAAGTGTCATTCCTATATTACAATGAATTTGAAAACTTTTTTGTTTTTCAAAATAATAAATAAACGAATGAGGTGTGTTTTGAGCACCATAAAATTATACATTTGAGCACCAAAGTTACTTTTAGGTGAAATCAGAACCATAGTGGTAGCTTTACAAAATAAGCAACAACAACAGATAGATAATAAATACAAGAGACAAATAAATAAATAAGTATGAATATAATGAAGAGGTAAGCACTTCATAATAATAAAGCAGATCGACCTTGTTTTGATTTACCTTTTTCTTCGTACTATACCTACAAGTTCGAACATGTTTTATTATTTAATTAAGATTGTTGTACTTTAAATAAATAAGTCAATATAAAGATTTAATTTGAGAATATCTACGTCAGATTTTATAGATGTTCTTTTTCCAATAAGAAAAAAAGTAAAAATAAATAATATAACTACTAATATCCATTTCAATGAACAGTGCAGTCGGTTGTAAGTTGAATAACTTCGGCTAGGAAACAGCTAGAGACCTGCGGTTTTCAGTTTTGAATAGAAGGGCAGCAACTTTATATNCGATTATTCTTAAGAAGCC